AGTAAGGTTTATTTGGTTTACAATTCCAGGTTATAGTCTGTTATTGAGAGTAAGTCAAGGCAAAAACTAAAGAGCAACTAATCGCATTCTGTCCTCAGTTAAGAGCAGAGAAAAACGAATGCCCCCAAGCTGTCTATTGCTGCTGTGTAGGCTTAACAACTGCTTCACTCTTATAGAGTTCAGGATCCAGTCTAGGGAACGGCAGTGCCCACAGTAAGACTGGATTGACTGCCGTCATTTAACAGTTAAGACAAACCCACATAGACATGTTCATAGGCTAGCCTGATCTAGGCAGTTTCTCAACTGAGCTCTCTGCTCAAGTGATTGTAAGTTGTGGCTAGTTGACAGAACTAATCATTATGTAGAGTTACTCTGATTTGTCCAACAAAAGTGGCTGTACCATTTTGCATTCCACTCAGGAATGTTTGAGTTCTAGTTTCTCTGCATTTTGCCAATATATTGTGTCCTGTTGTGTGAACAAAAAATAGATACATAATTTGCAGTAGTCTAAGGATGGGGTGTTGAATTGAGACTAAGAACATCTCACTGAAGTAACATGTCCAGATAATACGGGAATAGATCTATAGGACATTAGAGTGATTAGGTGAAATTGGTATTCTAGCTAGTTTATATCCACAGGCTAGCATCATTGGGAAGAGAGGACCTCATTTGAGAAAATGAGATTGGCTTGGGCACAAGCCTGTGGGGCATTTTCTTGAGTGATGATAGATAGGGGAGGGCCTACTTCACTGTGGGTGGTGCCATTCCTGGGCAAGCGGCTCTGGGCTCTATAAGAAAGCAGATAGAGCAAAGCCATGATCTCTGCATCAGCTTCTGCCTCTAGTTTCTTGCTTTGAATTCCTATTCTGATTTCCCTCAGTGATAGAATGGGACCTGAAAATTGTAATATGAGATGAACTCTTTCTAACCCAAGTTTCTTCTGGTCATGGTGTTTTATAACAGCATTAGAAACCCTAATTTGGCCGGGCGGTGGTGGCGCACGCCTTTAATCCCAGCACTCGGGAGGCAGAGGCAGGCGGATCTCTGTGAGTTCGAGGCCAGGCTGGACCGACAGCCTCCAAAACAATACAGAGAAACCCTGTCTCGAAAAACCAAAAAAAAAAAAAAAAAAAGAAACCCTAATTTGTAGAACAGCTTGTAAAACAGAAATGGACAAAAGATAATCCTGGTTTTCAGAAATCACTTGGAAAATGGAATTGTTTTTTGGGCACTGCCATAGTTCTAGATGAGTCTTAAATGGACTCAGTTTCAAGATATCTTTTACTGACAGCTAAGTTTTAGGATGCCTGTGAAAATGTCATATGAGTATCATTACCACAGAGCTATAAACCGGTGAAAGTGTAAAGTTAGGGGTTAACATAGCAGCTGCAGGATACAAGAGGACATTGAGGGTTTGCCAAGACAAAGTAGAAAATTGAGTTTTCTTGTTCAGGTTGGATAAGAAAGGGAGGTGAGACAGACAAGGGAGAGCGGTGGGTTAGAAAGATGGAAGGTTGAGGGACTGGTGTCTGCATGGGCCTGAAGACTGTCTGAAAGGCAGGTAAGAAAGCAAGATTGTCGGAAATGAAAAACGTGGTGAGGAATTGAGTCCCTGGGGTTAAAGATCATAGAAGCAGAGTTGTTCTAGAACCGAATGTTCACATTGATGAAGTGGGAATGTAGATGAGGAGCAGCTTTGGAATGGGAAAAATAGGAAAGGGCCAGATGACCAGGGAAAGCCCTTTGTGTGCGAGACATGGTTAGTTAACAAGGAAGGATTACAACAGGTTGTACAAAAGGCCATTTACCTCAGTAGTCTTACCTGTGAAGATAGAAAAGTACATTGCTATAGAAACATGAGAACTGAGCTAGAAAAATGCTGGGTTGCTTTGGCCTTTATTAGATGTGGAAAAATTAAATAAAAAAAAAAGCTGCCTTAATTCAAGGGGCTCGGGGAAGTAGATTCCTGGGAGATACCAATTGAGATAGAGTAGAGGTTTCGAGAATTCTGCTGCAGATGGCAGGGGTGTGTTCTCTGTGGAGTAAAGATTCCAGCATAAATGTTGAGAATTACTAATGGATATCCTAGACAGAAAGTGGGTGGAGGAGACTGAGTAGTATAGTGACAAACATGTGAAACTAGGAGATGACTAGAACTAGAAGCCCCGAGAGGAGCAAGGACACGGGGTGGACTGAGGAAGTGATGAAGTATGTGTGCCTAGGAAACCTGAGGACCAGTGTGGTATTGGTTGAGAAATGACTTTAGCCGACTGCACAATACCCTGAGATCCAGTGCCTTGCCAGTTACAAGGTTCTTATGTCTGGCAGCTTAGGATTTACAGGTGAGGTGGCTCTCCAGTGTTACGAGGAGAGTGGGTAGGTGAAGTTAAAGACTGTGGAACATAAGACGGAGAGTTTAGTCTAGCTAGGAGGCCTGGGGACTTCTTGGGAAGCCTAGGTTTTCCCCGAGTCTGGTAGGAAAAGCAGCATGTTAATAAATGGACTGAGCTAAAGAAATAGCCTGTGTGGGATGGCATGATGTTTGGGCTTGTGGGACAATTGGTAAAAAAAAGATCTTGACATGAAGATGAGTAATGGAGAAGATGGGAGGGAAAAAGTAGAAATTAGACGTGTTGTGTTAGTAGCCCTGGTGGCCAGAGCAGACACACACTAATTAATATGTGAGAATGCTGAAAATGAACATGAATTACACCATGCTCTTAAGTTTTATTTCAACTGCTAAGGCAGACAGTGTTAACCAGAAGCTAGCTGCAAACAAGGGGCGTTTTTAGCTCATCGCTTTTTCTTTTCTTACGTTGTAGAACTAGGTGATACAGAGTCACAGGTATTTTGTTTGTATATGCAATGATTTTATATTTTATTTGTTACTTGTTATAAACAGGCTTAAGATGGATTTGTTTATTTTAAAGCTAAAATAATAAATATCGTCACAGGTCCTAAGATAGGAAGCATTTCAAGAAAATACAGTGAAACAAATTTAGACTTTTTGTGTAAAGTTTTAATATATTTGGGAATGAGGCCTTAAAAATACTTGTTTGTTTGTTGTTGTTGTTGTTTTTAATTGCCCATGGTGGTTCATACCTGTAATCCCAGCACTTGGAAGGCTGAAAGCAGGAGGGTTACAGGTTGGGTGTCCAGCTTTAATACAGTGTCTTTTCATTGTTGACTTTTTTGAATATTTTTAATTTAATATTTTATACTGATTTAGATTTTGTAGAAATAAATTAAGAATATAATTTTTATTCTTGGGACTGAATTACATATTTGACATCAGTAAACAATAAAAAGTGTGCTGTGATCAATTGTCACAAGTTGAAGTTAAGAAAGGTGACTGTCGAGTGTGGTTACTTCCATAGCAGTCCATGACAAGCTCTGTGAGAGTCAAATACAGGCGGCCTCTCTGCACACCCGGCCTCGGTGAGCCAGCTGCAGTCTCTTGGATGTTCTGTGTGTTTTGATGTTGCCATACCGTTACCATTTTTCTTAATCCATGAAAATTGATTGCATAACTCCTTACTTTTAAATGTTTATTTTTTTAATTTTATAATACTGTATCATTCATGTAAAATAGTATTATATATGATACAATGTATGTTCAGGTCCCCCTCACACTCAGAAATTCTAAGGCCCTCCTACACTTCTTTGAGGAAGTAAAGACTGCTCAGACAGCATGTGGATACATTTTTAAAAGAAAATTAGGGAACGGAATTTTAATAGCACTGCACTAACCAGCTTTAAAACCTGGGCGTTCTCTGAATTGAATGCTGGCCCTTATAAGGAGATATCAATGATGCTTTGTGGCTGTCCAGCATGGGCACACACCAGCACCTGACACAACCGTTGGTTACCAGTCACTGTTTTAGTGTTTACTGAACCTTGAAGTTTATATCAATGGCAACAGAACTTTTCTGTAAAAACTATGTGGCTACCCCACCCCAAAACAAGTAGTATTCTTGTCCAAAACCTACTCACTGATGTAGAATATTAACCAATCCACTAGTGAGGTGCTAAGAAGAAAAATTCAGAAAAACCAATCATTAAGCCTCAGTTATTTTGTGGAGTTAACATAAACTGTTTGGAGTGCCAGTTAAACACACGTCTCTGTACCACGGTCAGAAGGGGTTTGCAGTGCTTTTGTTTGCCTTTTTGTTGGCCTGGCAGGTTCCTCTTCTAGGACTCAGCTGAAATGCAGTCTTCTATTCCTAGGCCCTGGTGGGGAGGTGGGGGTGCTGCAGCAGGAAGACTAGTGAGGGCATTGAGAACTTTCACCTAAACTAAAACGTTTTTACAGTAGCTTAGTGGACCACGGCCTGACGTGCACAAGATCTGATTCAGTCCTTGGAGTTGTATAAAAACTCCATTGCCTAAGTTCTCCCTGAATTTTCTGGTGTGTGTGTGGGGCCGGGGGGGGGACTGTTAGCACATGGCCCGTTTATTCGCTTGCATGTTACGTCACAGGCTTACGAACCACACACACATGGGACTCTGCCAAATTTACCTTTGAGTCACTGTAACTGATGTAGTGGATTCGCATGTTGGGAAGTCTTTTAAATTTTTTACGCTTACTTATTTTGGGTGTTGTTTGTTCATTTGGGTGCCCATGTGCAGTGACGTGTGTGGATATTTAAGAACTACTTTAATGGGATTGAACTCATATCATCAGGCTTTGAGGCAAGCGCCTTCACTTATTGAGCCATCTCACCAGTCCCCCTCCGCGAATGTTCTTTAGATAATAAGCTGGTAACTGAAGGGATAGAGGGAAAGAATTCATCCAAATCGTGAATACTGGGAAAGTCTATTCAGATTCGAGTGTCAAGCATACTTAACGAACAGGGTCTGAAATTTTCCTGTCTTTAGAAACGATAGCAGGACTTGCTGACAATGCAAGTGGCAGTAAACATTGGAGTTATAAACCAAAGCTGTAAAGTTGGTCTACAAAGCCCCGTTTTCCAAACATACTGTGTTTTTATATTTTCTAGTGCTTCTACTTCTCATTCAGAGAATTCGGTGCATACGAAATCAGCTTCTGCTGTATCTTCAGATTCCATTTCAACTTCAGCAGACAACTTCTCTCCTGATTTAAGGGTATGTATGCTGTATAAACATGCTGAGGATGTTCATACTGTTCAGTGTCTGGCCAGCACTGTGAGCAGAACCTTTAGTAATTAAGTAGGTAATGGCAGAGAGTTCTCAAAGACCTCAGACTTTATAAATTATCCCAGACCAGGCCAGCAAGTTTGAATGCTTACTTACTATTTTAAGAAATGTATGTTTCATTCCTTAAGTTAGTACTTTTAAATATTTTGTCTATTTTTTTTTTTGCGGTACTCTTTTTTTCCAGTAACTTCCGTATTAACAGGGAGTAATAGCTAACATGCATTGAGAACTTACCATAAGCCAGCCATTGCTCCAAGTGCTAAACTTAAATTATCTCTTGTAATACTAGAGATGTTTTGTCATTTCCATGTGGTACCTCAGATTAAGTAATATGTCCAGAGACTCAGAATAAAATAGCTAATCAGTTATATTGTCAGTTGCATTAGTCGGGATTCTCTGAAGGAACACAACTGATAGAATAAAAAATACATTTATAAAGGAAATTTATTAGAGTGTCATACAGGCTATTATCTGAGTAGTCCAATGAAGGCTGTCTCCTGATGGAAAGGCCAAGAACCCACTAGTTGTTAGAGTCACAGTGCTGAATGTCTCAGCACTCCAGTAGTACTGGAGTCCTAGAGAATTCATAGAGAGCTGCCAGTCTTGAGTCTGTGTTGGAATCTAGAAGAGGTAGATTCTAAAGAATGCCTCAGCAATAGAATAAATGAACTTCCCAACAAGAGTAAGGGCAAGCAGGAAAACACAAGCCTCCTTCCATGGCCTTTTATGTGGACTGCCACCAGAAGGTGTGACTCAGATACAGGGTGGGTCTTCCCACTTCCAGTGATCCAATCAAAACAAACAAACACCCTCACCGGAATGCCCACCTGCTTGGATTTTAGTTGATTACAGATGTAGTCAGGTTGACAACTAAGTCTAACCTCTACATCACTGTTCTATCTTATTGAGTCCGGTTCTATAGTTTAGTTAAAGCACCAGGTGATGGATCATTCTTACACATCTCAGTATGTTGTAAAATATTCCAGTATTCTTGTCTTATTTCTACAGAATTAGCCACATATCAACGATAGCATATTTGTGGATTCACCTGCTCTTCTTCAACCACTTGCCTATGAGTAGTAAAAATTTATATTTTATGTACGGTACTAATGTAACCCTTCAGAGTTTCTTTTTAAACAGTAGATACTCATTTTCATGGTTCTAGAAGATGGGAAGTCTAGATTCAATGCTATAGACCAGTGTCTGCAAGCATATCTATCTGGTGTTCTATCTTATGGGACGATCTAAGAGAAGGTTACTCCAGAATGTTAATTCAGGCTCTCTGACACCAGGGAGGAACAATTTCTATGAGCTGAACCCTGAATAGCTGTACAAAGGCATATTTATTGATTGTTACACAAAAGTTTTTTGAGGGTGTGTAGAACAAGCCCCTACTCTAATCTGTATGTTTTCTGGAGGAGAACATCACACCCCTGTAACTTCAGTCGTTATTGTACTCAGGATGCTCCAGGTATGCCAGGACCTTCTTGTGACCATGCAAAGGCTGTAAAGCTCCTTCAGCAAAACAATTTTATAGATAACAGAAAACAGTCACTGTTTCCACGATTTCTTCAAAGTACTTTTAGAAAACAACTAAAGTTTACCCTAAATACAGTGATTTGACTAATTTTTCCTCTACATTTCCCCTTTTGGTTTAAGTTATTTTAATTCTGTTGAAAATTATGTAGCCACACAGTGAAGATAGCCTTTGTCATATTGTGTTGTCTCGAAATCTTACATAGATAAGCCAGAATACATTTTAAAGCCAGTAAAATTATTACAGCAAAAATAGGGGTATTTTTGTCCTGAGCAAAATGGGTGTAATACTGTCTAATCCATATAACCCTTTACAAAGAGTCTTTAGCTACCATGGTGAAACAGTTTCATACTGTCTCCCAGGGTTCTGCATTGACAAAAATTAGCATGTATATAGTCGTTAAACATTACAGTATTGCTTTGGGGTTAATGCTTGTTTCCAATGTCTCCTCAAGTTTTCAGCTTTCTCTTCCTCTTGGCACATCCCCTTTTGATCAATTTGTCACCTGTTTTTAGATGTTTTACGCATCTGGCGTTCTATGGATGTCCTGGTCAATGTTTCAGATGCTTTCTCTGTCCGTTGCTCTGGATATCCTGAACAGAGACATCAGATCAGGAACCACCTGGGACTCTGTGTTTTTTTGAAGAGACTTAAGCATGACCTCACCTTGAGTTAGAACATTGGGCTCTTTTTATATTTTATTTATTTATTTTAGCCTTTACTTTAGGTTGTATCTCCTTTAGGGTCAAATGTTTTGGGGCAGCAGAAAAACCATTATCCTTTAAAATGTAATATTTTTTTTTTAATTTAGAGTTAGCATAGGTAAATAGTATGTGAGGATTTAGGTGGGTATAGCCTCTTATCCCTTTTTAAATTTGTCAATTGAATATTTGATGGTGTCATTTTACAATAGCTTGACCCTGTGAATAGTGATTTTAGTAACATGATTAATATTAAAACATTTACAATCATTTGTTACTATAAGCAGGATCATTATTATTTTGTTGTTGTTGTAATGAGTCTTAGGAAGGAAATGTATAAAGAACCGTTTGACAAAGCTTAGTTTCAGATAAGCTACAACTGTATTTTGTTGGCATTTCCAAGGCCCCATGTCATGCCTGGGACTGTGTTCTGTTGCTGACTGGTTAGGGAGAGGCATTCTGTATGCCTAATGTGCACCTTGAGCACAGATCTTGACTTCCTGTCAGCACAAAGACAGACAGCTGCGTTTTTAGATGTCAAGCTGATGTCCCATTTATTACTAATTATGTATTAGAAGCATGGAATACTGTATAACATATGTCTTTATGCTGTATTAAGTAGTGCCTCTAATAGAGAATAGGCTCTCATGAGCCTCTTTTAATTCTTTTTCTTGCCAGAGTCTGATCTTTTGTCAGACAGAGGGAAAGCATAAAACTAAAAAAACCAACAAAATTCGTTTAATTAACAATGGTTATAAATCATTTAACTCTTTTAAAGATTTAAATTTGAGTCCTTTAAGATTTGGCATTTTTAAAATTTAGGATAATCTTAATTATGAATTTAAGAAGACTATTTTCTTAAAAAACTAGGTAACAGGATATTTAGATGTACCTAAGAAATAATCATAGAAAATCCTGAAATAGAAAACAGTTGGATTTTTTTCATGTAAGCATGAAAATGCCTGTTTTGCAAATCTGTAAATGAAACAAAATTGTGAACCATCTCAAAGCATAACAGTTCATGGAGGAAGAAATTTATTAGAAGGCTTTGGCTTTCACTATATTTTGTAGACAGTTTCATATAACAGAGTCTCAAGCTGAACCAAAAATAATTTTAGGTGAATACTATAAAGTAATCTAGCTTTTATTGATTATATTTTTTATTTAACTCCTTTTGACTGTTAAGGAAATTTAAGAAACGTGTAAATAAATATATTTCTATTTTTTGGATATTATATTATCTAGAAGAAATATTTTAGTTTACTTTAACTCTTCTTTAAATTCATCCCAAGCCTGTTTCATTGTTATTTTTTAATTTTTTGTTGTTATACAAAAAATGTAAGTTAAAAAATTTGACCAATATACCTGATTTTAACCAAAACCCACTTTTAGTTACCTGTTTTAGGCTTAACCTTGAAAACACATATAAGCTAAAGCTTGTTCTTGTGAATGAATTAAATTTGAAATTAGGGTAACTACAAACCTAGTTCTGAGCACATTAAAAAAAAGTGATCATTTAAAGTGGTTTACTGTTAACTAGTGTGTCTTAACCATCTTTTAACAGTTTATAACAAGTTTAGCAGCTTTTAAAAGATTTAAATTTCACAGTTTAACTAGACATACATCTCTAAGTCAATTCCTGCCACCCAAAGTATACCTTTATAATCTTAAGAATTTATCATCACACAAAATTTATTCTAATCTGAAATATTTTGGGTCTAAGAAAATTTTTAGGTGTTGCCTTTTACTAAAAGCAGCCACAGCTGTTCTTGACTTGCCTCCTAGGCATAGTTTTGTTTTTTTTTATTGTTTATTGTTTGTTTTTTGTTTTGGTTAGTGTTTAAAGCAAGGAAACTGAGTTGAAGGAGCACATTAAGCATTTTTTAAATTTTTTGTCTCTCTCTCTTTTTTACTTCTGTCTCCAAACTACTCCTGTCATGCATTCTTTCAGATCTAACCAGCATACCCAGAAGCAGCTGTCACTACTAGCACAGTGTGAAGATAACCCTTGGACTGGAAGAATGCCTTTAACCTAGTTTCATGGAGTTTTACAAACAAATAATGACAGATGTCCTAGAACCTTTATAGATATCCCTTACCTGTCTTCATGTATTTGTTTAAATGAAAAATAACATTCCCAATAAACATTCAATGGCAAAGAACCTCATTACTGAAGCTGTTTATATTTTCCACTATATTTGAATATGAGACAAGCCAGGAAGAGTAATGTAGAGGAAGAAATTAAGTAAAATCACTGTTTCTGTGGTAAATTTTAGAATGGCTGTTTTTTGGAAGACTGTAGCCACGTTATCTAATAAGCTAGCAACCTATTCTGTTTTAGGTGTTACATTTTTATAGAAGTTAATGGAGGGTTCCCAGAAAGTAACCTTAGGAGCAGAGCCAAATCCTCAGGAGTGATAAAAAGATAAGAGCATAACCAATGATATAGTTCTAAATTATAAATTTTGTTTTTTCTTATTTACCATGAAAAATTAAGCATTTATTAGATAATCAGGAGAAGAGAACATCCTCCATATAGTGAATAACTAGTACCTCTGGAAATTTAAATAGTATTGGCTTAGTGATTTATGCCCTGATTGCAAGTGTTTTTATATCAGAAGTTGGGCTTTTTAAAAATGTTTTTCCCATAAGGGGATTATTGGTAGTTATTCCCTCTTTTAGGGATGTCTGAATATTGACTTACTCGCAATATGAGGGGGCAGGGAGAAACATTTTAAACAAAAATCAAGCAAGCAAACATTAACCAGATTCTAAGTTATGGGCTGGCTGTATCAGCTCAGGCTGCAGCAGTGGAGCCCCACCCATCATTCTTTGAAATTCAGGAGCTGCCACTGTTCTGCTTTGGCAGGCCCTTAGCTGACAGAGCTGAGCTTCAGCTGATAGTCATTTTTCAGTCATTTGAAATAACTCTATTCACCTGTGAAACGAGGATAAAAAGCTTACTTTATTTTTTACGGTGTTTTAGGGTTTATTGTGAAAGTATTTAGTTTTTCATATGAATGTAAGATTTTATAATTCTTAGGCTCCTCAGGAAAGAAAATGGCAGCTTCATAGTGTATGGGACAATACTACAGTTTATATAATTTGATTTAAAGAAGTATAATAAGATTGCAAATCAAATACAAGCAAACCATCTGAATGAAATTTGAATGGAAAAAAATAGCTTTGAATTAAAACAATGTTTCTTTCTTACACAACCCCATCTAGGTCCTGAGGGAGTCAAATAAATTAGCAGAAATGGAGGAACCAACCCTGCTTCCAGGAGAAAACATTAAAGACATGGGTCTGTAATGGTATTTTAAAATTTGTTTCTTTCTGACTGCATAGTTGTTCATTCTCCTGTAGCTCCCAGCCTATGTGCTGTAAACCTAGATCCAGAGCTGTTGGGCATGTCCTGTCTCACTGTTGGGAAATATGCAAACTTAATTTTATTCTTCTTAAATTGTTGCTGAATTCTGTGCAGGAAAGTTGAATTATTTTGAATTTACTGCATTCAGGTACTGGGTTGCCCAGCTAGATACATTGAACATGTGGTTTATTATTATTATTATGATTATTATTATGATTATTATTATTTAGGTACAGCCTGTCATTTGCTCTTTTTCATGATTTTCTTCCTTAGATAAACTCAGGTTAAATTTTGGATGATGTCTCTCGTGTCCACTGCAGAGCAGGCACTGTGTGTAGCCGTGGTCTGCTGCTTAGATAACTCAGGATGATGTCTCTCGTGTCCACTGCAGAGCAGGCACTGTGTGTAGCTGTGGTCTGCTGCTTAGATAACTCAGGTTACATGATGTCTCTCGTGTCCACTGCAGAGCAGGCACTGTGTGTAGCCATGGTCTGCTGCTTAGATAACTCAGGTTACATGATGTCTCTCGTGTCCACTGCAGAGCAGGCACTGTGTGTAGCCGTGGTCTGCTGCTTAGATAACTCAGGTTACATGATGTCTCTCGTGTCCACTGCAGAGCAGGCACTGTGTGTAGCTGTGGTCTGCTGCTTAGATAACTCAGGTTGATGTCTCTCGTGTCCACTGCAGAGCAGGCACTGTGTGTAGCCGTGGTCTGCTGCCCTATGCAGTTTATCTTTGCATTTTGCCCGGAGACTGAACAGAAAAGCTATACTGAGTGCTCGTGTTCTGTTCTTCTTGCTCACAAGACAAGCATTCATAGATTCTGAAGAGCAGTTGTGAGGAGGATGAAGAAAATGTTTACCTTGCTAAAGTAAGCACCATCTTTCATGTTAAGGTCAGTCATCGCCCTTTAAAGGAAATGCCTCATTTTCCCTGAGTGTCACTTCTAGTGTAAAACAGGCATGCCAGAGCAAGGAAGGGCCTGCCCTCAGATGGGCTGATAGTAACTGCCAACTCAGTTTCTTTTCTTCCTTTCCTTCTTTTTAATAAATTTTATTTAAATTAGAAACAATCCTGTTCTACATATCAATCCCAGTTCCCTCTCCCTCCCATCCTTCCACGCTCCCCACCAACCCCCATCCGATCCCCCACCCACTGCCCAGGGAGTGGCCTTCCCTGAGGGATCATCAAAGTCAAGTCATTTGGGGCAGGGCCTAGGCCCTCCCCCATGTATTTAGGCTGAGACAGTATCTCTTCATGGGGAATGTGCTCCTCGAAGTCCATTCCTACACTTGGGATAAATCCTGGTTCCACTGCCTGAGGCCCTATAGACTGCCCAGTCCTAGCTGACACCCACGGTCAGGGGTCCTGGTTTGGTTCTATGCTGGTTTCCCAGCTGTCAGTATGGGTCCATGAGCTCCCCCTTGTTCATTCAGGTCATCTGTTTCTGTGGGTTTCCCCAGCATGGTCTTGACCCCTTGGCTCATCACTCCTCCCTCTCTGCAACTGGATTCCAAAGTTCAGCTCAGTGTTTAGCTGTGGGTGTCTGCCTCTGCTTCCGTCAGTCACTAGATGGAGGCTGTAGGATGGCATGTAAGGTAGTCTTCAATCTCATTATTGGAGAAAGGTATTTAAGACAGCCTCTCAACTATTGCTTAGATTCTTAGTTGGGGTCATCCTTGTGGATCTCTGGACATTTCCTTAGTGCCAGATTTCTCTTTAAACCTATAATGGCTCCCTTTATTATATCTCTTTTCTTGCTCTCCTCTATTCTTCCCCCAACTCATTCTTCCTGATCCCTCATGTTCTCCTTCCTCCTCTTCTTCTCCCTTCTTCTTTCTCCCTGTCCCCTCCCCCAGTTTTCTCAGGAGCTCTTGTCCTTTTCCCCTTCTCCGGGGGACCATGTATGTCTCTCTTAGGGTCCTCCTTGTTTCCTAGCTCCCTGGAGGTATGGATTGTAGGCTGGTTATCCTTTGCTCTATGTCTAATATTCATATGAGTGAGTACATTCCATGGTTGTCTTTCTGTGACTGGGTTACCTCTCTCAGGATGGTTTCTCTACTTCCATCCATTTGCCTGTGAGTTTCAAGATTTCATTGTTTTTTCCCCACTATGTAAATGTGGTGCATTTACACAACTTAGTTTCTTGCTTATGCTAGTATAAGGATATCACAACTTAGTCTCTTAACACTGCTCGTCCTTCTGATCTTGACACTGGTTAACTTCCTCCCTCTTCTTATGTCTGTGACTAAGCTTGATCTGGTAAGCTACTATTGAGTTAGATATATTATTTGCATGACATGCCAAGTTGATAAGAGGAGTTATCATAATGATCCTTAGAATAACATTGTGGGAAAGACATTAGCTGGCTCAGCATAGGGACCTTCCTAGCTAATAAAACCACAGCTCACCCATGACGGTTTCTTAGCTGTTCTGAGCCCAGTGCTGGTGCTGCTTCCACTACAATGTGTGGTCTTAAAAACAACTCTTTTATAGCTACTTTCTTTTACTGTCAGCATGTCCTCAGACTTCATCCACAAGCCGTTTCCTTATTGCTTATTCTTTTCCGTTGATTTTATCTACTTAGCAGGTTTACCCACGTATATGGGTTAATGACTACAAAAATGTGTGTTTCAACTTGAGGCTCTGCCCTCCTGTATGTAATCAATTGTCTCTGTCTTTAAACCGGGCTTAACTATCTGTGCATCCCTCCCTATTCCAAATGTTCAAAGCCTCAGCCTCACTCCTTATCTTACATCCCCACCCTCAGGGACTCTGCTTCTGCCCTTTTCCAAATGAAATATCCTCCTGGTTACCACACACAGAGTTGTCTGAGTATACTGAATCAGGTACCTATGAGTGACTTGACATGGACATAGTTAATTATAGAGAGGTTTGGGCTTGATGAATATTTCAGAATCATTAGCACATGGATGTTTGCTGTAAGAGGGAGGAACGGGTTAATTCAGAGAGTTCATGTGGTTGCAAGCTATATGCAGAGAGCTTTGATCAGCACTACTTGTGTTTCTGGGAGAGGAGACTGGGGGGGGAAGTACGGACTAGAACACACTGGGGAGTTTGCAGAACACCAGTCTTCACTTGAACATGCTGTGTGCTTTCTGCAGGGCAGTCAGCGTCTCCTGTTGCATGAGTGCTTTGTTAACTCCCGCCCCATCCTCCATTGCCATTGCAAAGACTCCTATGTCTGCCCTGCTCGAGCTTCTCTGAACCTGTGGCTGAGTGGACTTGTCCTTCTCAGCATTACTTCTGGGTTTCTGTTTTGATTTGTACATGGTCTGCCTATCTCTGCCTCCCAAGTTGTGGGATTCAAGCCGCCATACCTTGCTGCTTTCTGTGTGATTTGAACAGGCTCATTGTCCTCTCTCTTCATGTTGGCATCCGTTACAGTAACTGTTAGAGAGCCTTCCTCTGATCTGTAAAAGTTTAAGATAAGGAAATCTAGGTACCTCAGTGCCACTTGGTAGCATCACTATTGGCAAATTTAGAAGATTGCCCAGTATAACATAAAAGTGTTTAGCATCATCTTCACACAGTGTTCAGAATATAAAGTTACTAGAAAAAAGTCAAAGGTTGGGACAAATGTGCATGTCTTTATAGTAAAAGGACTTTGGATTTTACAATGACTTAATATAAATCTATAGTTTGGTAAGGTGATTGCTGCAAAAGCTGACATGGTGAGTTCAGTCCTTGGCACCCTCATGGTAAAAGGAGAGCGTGCTCTTCTGCTCATTGTTCTCTGACCCCACATGCGTGCTGTGACCATGGTGTGTGTAACCATATGCACACACCCATATACATACACCATATGCATGCACAAATCAATAAATGCCACAAAGAGCGAAAATGGTAGGCAAAGCATTAAATGAATGCTGTAGGAATTAACGGTCTCAGAGTATTATGGCCTGGTATTCCCACACAGTTATTCAGCCTTTAGTGTAAGGGTCAGATGCTAAACAACAGTGGGTTAGCTTTGTGAAGAGGCAGCCTGATGTTTATGGCAAGAAATGCCAGAAGTGGGTCCAAGTCAAAGTGCTTCATACACTTCAAGTAGTGCGTGACCATTGTTGGCTGGCTCTGCCCTTTACTCTGCTCAGGGTGCTAGTCAGGGCCTCCTTTCTCCCTGTGTGAACCTGCTAAGACCATCCCTCAGTGCCTGCAGGGAGAGAGCATGTAGAACAAAGCAGGGACTGGTATTGGCAATGGTGGCATTGGTGTTAACCTCTGCATTTGCACAGTCCATACAGCTGTAGAAGCACAGGCATGCGTCTTCTCTCCTTATCTAATAATGAGGGAGTGCAGGAAGGACATCATCCTATGGCAGCTATAGGATAAGAGTGCTGATGCCTTTCCTGTGTAAGGAGACTGGCCCTGATGTCACCCAGAACCGTTTAGTGGCACCAAGAAAACTTTCTTAGTTAAGCTACAAAGTCATAAGGGAAGTAGAATCTTTCTATCTTCATATAGTGGTAGGTTTATTTGATTTCAAAAATTTCCCTCTAAATGAAACATGCATTGGTAATTAAGAAAATTTGGCTCATGCTTCTGAAGAATCTCATTTGAAGTTTAGAGACGATTACTAAAAGATTGCTCTCATTTCAAATCCCATACAAAGCAGTCAGTCCTTCAAATCGATTAATATGAAGCAAAGTCAGAAGTTTCAGTGTCTTGCAGATTATATATGTGTAAAAGGAAGCCTTTTCCTTGTCTGCTGCTTTGGTTTATCCCCGCCATTCGCCTGGGCTCTGCCACGTCGTAGTCCCCAAATAACACACAAGACGCTGTATTAATTATGAAGCTGTTGGTCTTGCTTGTTTCTTACTGGCTAGCTCTGACTTAAGTAATTACCCCATAATTGTTAATCTAAGTATTTATTTCTCTTACTGGAGAAGTTTCTGGGCTTCCTACCACATGGCGTTACATCTTAACTCCCTGTGTTTCTCCTACCCAGAGTCCTCCTGGACTCCTAGTCCCAACTATGTTGCTTCCCTATTGGCCCACAGTGCTTTTTTGACATATACACAGGACTTCCCCCATCATATATGTCTATAGCTGCCCCAAAGCACCCTGATGAAGTTTGTAGAATGTTTTAGCTTGACATAATTGTCCTGCATTTCCTTGGGGGAATCTGATGTTTTGCTCTAATAGTGGCATGCAGATAATTTATAATATTTTAGGATTTTAAAAAGACCCTGTATTGGGCACTATGAAGTCTTCCATGGTAACTCTGTTTATCAGGTAGTGCATGTTTTTAGAAGCATAATGCCATGTAGATCCATCATTTAATAAAGCATTGACTATTTTTAAAATTTGATATCAGTAACTTGGTCAGGGATATACTATGCTCTTTTTAAAATATCTTATTCCAAAGTGGCCTAGAGAGCTGGCTCAGTGGTTGGGAGCACTCGCTGCTCTAGCGGAAGACTGAGATTTGATTGCCAACACACACACACACACACACACACTGCACACACACACACACACACACACACACTGCACACACACTGCACACACACTGCACATACATATATGCAGGTAAACACTGATAACACATACAGAAAAACATTTAAAGAAATGTTATTTGCCTGCAGTCTTTTAATGCCTCATACATGCAGTCAGTTCAGTACTCTCTGGCATTGTATACATTGTGGTCACTGTATTTTTAGAGAAATAGTACATACTGAGCTGTGGCTCAGAAGAAAAGCAGCAGGTGAAAGCAGCCTAGAACCTGGGAAGGGAGTGAGCGGGGCTGACTCTGTGCTCATATGCTGATCATCTCCCGGCCACTCCAACTTCTGACCTGCTTCACTCAGAGGGACGCCAGGCAATCTTTGCTCCCTCTTCTCTGGAGTGGCCCCCTTTGCCTTTCTGTTGATTCTGCAATTCTTGGATTAAAACAAAATGGAAGCATGGATTAGGCTTCTGAAGTTTTTTTTTTTTTAATCATTCTGGGGTTTGTTTTATCATAATTAGGCAAGCAGTCAAAGTAATTTTGTAAAATGTGTAAGCTGTTTTTAATAGCACACAGTGTCAAGTAAACGATGGCTATTTTGTCTTTTCAGCCAAAGATGTGACTTACATATGTCCCTTCACCGGAGCCGTACGAGGAACACTAACTGTCACAAACTACAGATTATATTTCAAGAGCATGGAGCGGGTGAGGCTTATGGGGTTTGGCCTGTACATTTGCTTGGTGTTTGGATGGGTTTGCTTGCTTCTGATTTAGTTTTTACTATTGAGACAAAGTTTTAACTATATAACCATGGCTGTCCCAGAAGATGGTATGTAGATCAGGCAGCCCTCAAAGATCTGCCTGCTTTAGCCTACAAGTGCTGGGGCTAAAGGTGTGCCCCACCACACCCAGTCAATTCTGGGTAATTTTTGATTGAAGAATTTCTGGTTAAAATTTTACAGTTTTGAGGGAATGAATGTTGGAGATCCTATTGGTGTTATTAAAGCACTTTATAGTTTTTTAGAAGTTGTGTGTTTTCTTGTCATCTTGCAGGACCCCCCATTTGTTCTAGATGCTTCTCTTGGAGTGATAAGTAGAGTAGAAAAAATTGGTGGTGCATCTAGCCGAGGTGAAAACTCTTATGGCCTGGAGACCGTGTGCAAGGTAAATTTTACAATACTGTGTGGTTGTATTTACTTTGGAAAGCTATTAAATAGAACCTATACTTGGAAACTGGTACAAGTAAGTGGACTGCATACTAGAAATGTATTCTCATAGTAGCAAATGTCTTTTGCTATTCACACATGGGTATCAGGTACTATTTGTATTAGCCCCATGATGCAGGGCCATATGCCACAGCTTGGTGTCTTTGGGGTTGCAATCGGGACCAGCCGAACAGCCCTGGATCTATTCCTGAATGGGGGAGTGTGGATGAGAGAAGGCTGACTATCGACATTAAAGGGAAGACGGAGATATAAGTTCATATCAAGAGGGCAGTGTGCCCAGTTTATTCATGCATCAATCTTAAGTAACCAACCAAAGGTGGGGACAATGGCAGAAGACTTCCATTACTATGTATAAAGGGCAGACAGCAATTACTTCCCTTAATCCTAAAGACACTCCTTTGCTGCATGTACTACTCGACCATCAGGGGCCCTGATAGCTGCCTTCAGGATGAATGTAAACTCACCTGGGCCCAAGTCTATTGTTATTTAGATAGGAGCCATTCACCCAGGCCAGGACAAATATGTTAAAGACAATAGGAGTCTAGACTTCCCTGGCCTGGGGGTAGAATAGATCCCCAAAGTATGCCCCCAACATGAGGGTCTGGGCTGAGCCAGCTGTTAGACTCCCTGACCTGGAAGAACTTCAGGCAGTTTGGTCCTGTCTAGCAGAAGAGACTTACAAAGGAGCTCCTGGAAGCAGTAATAAATCAGAAAGTGATATCCATATGCAATGGACATGTGGTAACAGCTGATCATGTTTTTATTTTTAGAAATCAGGTTCTGGGAATTGAACTAAGGTCCTTGTGCTTGTGAGGCAAGCATTTTACCTACTGAACCATCTCTCCTGCCTAGGAAAGGACAAATGTTGATAGCGTTTGTTCATCAGTCAATTACGTCCCCCTTGGCCCTGCTGAGCCTAGGTGCACAGGTCTAGATTCTCTGCCATGTAGTGGAGTACTTTGTGTTTCTTCTGCTCACAGTGAATCGTTATTTTCTTGTGTCCAGGAACTGTTGTTTTGTATCCTACATGTAGAGCTTTATTTTTACCCAGCATTTCCAAGTACTCTCGTCTCTTATTAAAAAGGAACAAAGTGATTTAATTGGACGCTGTGTCTTTTCTAGGATGTCAGGAATTTACGATTTGCTCATAAACCAGAGGGACGAACGAGAAGATCCATATTCGAGAATCTAATGAAATATGCATTTCCTGTGTCCAACGGCTTGGTAAAGTCTCTTTCTAACCTATAATGTAATTATTAGTGTGATCAAACTCAAACTAACTTGCCCAGATCCTCCCCTTTGTGTTCCTGCTTTGGCACTTAGCCAGAGTCTAGCTTGTGCCCAAAGTCAATTTCAGGAATGACATTCTATAATTATGTTGATCTTGGGGGAGGGGGAAAACTGGAAAAGACTTCACACATGCTAGGGAAGTGCTGTACCACAGAGTGGTTTTGTTTATTTATGTGTCTTTATTTGAGACAAGGTCTCTTGAAGGTTGTGCAGGCTGGCTACTCCTGTCTCAGGTTCAGGAGTCTCGGCTGTTTTAGTAAGGGTATCTATCCCTGTGAAGAGATAGCATGACCACAACAGCTCTTTTTTTTTCTTTTGGTTTGTTGAGACAGGATTTCTCTGTGTAACAGCCCTGGCTTTCCTAGCACTCACTTTGTAGACCCGGCTAACTTTGAACTCACATAGATCCGCCTGCCTCTCTGCCTCCCAAGTGCTGGAATTAAAGGTGTGCGCCACCACCTCCCGCTGACCACAGCAACTCTTTGTAAAGGAAAACATTTCATCGTGGTGGTTTACATTTCAAGGGTTTAGTCCATTATCATTGTGGTAGGAAGCAAGGCAGCATGTAGACAAACAAGATGCTAGAGAAGCAGTTAAGTGTTCTGTCATCTTGACTCACAGGCAACAGGAAGTGGTCTGTGTCACAGGGCGTTACTTGAGCATATATGAGACCTCAAAGCCCGCCTCTACACTGACACATATCCTGCAACAAGACCACACCTACTCCATTGAGGCTACACATCCTAATAGTGCTATTCCCTTTAGAGGCCATTTTCTTTCAAACTACCACATCAGCTTATATAATATTTTTCTTTAGGATGTTTCTATGCTTCAAAGCTTTATGTAGTCTTCATTAGGGTTTGCAGTCTTCCTGGATAGAAACTGGCGTTAAGACTGGGAATATAGGACAGTTACTAGTTCAGCAGTATTGTGATAGTGCTAGGTTCTCTCACCTATATGACAGAATTTCACCTCATGGCAGCCAGATTAATTTCCATATGAAAATCAAGATGGATAAGGCAGATAATGTATTAATTTAATACTAGATTTTTCACTTCAGTTGCAATTTTCTTCTTAAACAGACTTTTCTAGTTGCATCTTAAAAAATCTTTATATACTAAAGTATAAAAAACTTCCTTAGTGTATTAGAACATACAGGATGTATTTCAGAGCCACTCAGCTGCTGCTGCCTGGTGTTGGAGCAGCTATTTCTGTTGGAAAGTGCAGTTTTTAGGGATGTCATTTATTACTAGAATTAAACCTACAAAAACTACCCAAATATTTAAAGGTAATAGATTAGCATTTGGCAAATTTTCTGAGTGGGTCTTTGAGTTTTTCTATACTTTTTAAAGCATATAAAATACTTAGTGTTGTAAATTAAACAGTAATTTCAGTCATAAGACTAAAACTATTTTAAAAGGGGAATGTAAAATACTCTTGCAGATAAGCAAATTAGAACAAGTAATTGTAACCCTTTTAGGACATATTTCTGATTGATTGCTTTCTTAAATGTCTTTTCTTAACTGTTTATTTTGTAGCCTCTTTTTGCTTTTGAGTATAAAGAAGTGTTCCTTGAAAATGGATGGAAATTGTATGACCCCCTTCTAGAGTACCGAAGGCAGGTACGTGTTTTTCTGTCCGAGCTATCATGCTCTGTATTGTTTTCATTACAGACAGACAGATCAGAGTAAGGAGCTCTTTCGGTGTCTCCTCCATTTTGGTTTGAGGGAAGGCTAACCCTGGCTTGCTTGACTTATTTTCTTTTCCTTTTGAATTGCTTTCCAGAATACACTAGTGATCTATGAATCCTTACTTATCTAGGAGCTTATAGGTATCAGTTTGTCTAAAAAATGTTTGCTCAATATAAAGATATAAATGGGATCAGTATGTTTAAAATTTAATGTTCTTATATGCCTTAATATTTACTCAGTTTTTTCTTATTAGGCATCCTATAATTTCATTATGAAAAAATTAGTACTGCTTCTAATTTAGCTCTGCAAAATTTTGGGTTTTACTCTTCACAGAGGATAGAATAACACTTTCCCTTGTGCTAAGGGCTGCATTGACTTAATTTGGTCAGTACCCATTCATTTTAACTTCAGTGTGTGTGTGTGTGTGTGTGTGTGTGTGTGTGTGTGTGTGTGTGTGTGTGTGTGTGTGTGTGTGTTTGGTTAGTACTCATACATTTTAACGTCAGTGTGTGTGCATGCTTGTATGTGTATTTGTATACACGTGTGTGTATGTTGTGCCTGTTTGTATTTGCTTGCCTGTTTCCCATGCACTAGGGATTGAATTCATGGCCTCATATATGTGTGAGGCAAATACTCTGCTACTGAGCTATATCTCCCTTTTACACGTAGATCAAAGTTGAATTCCTACTGATAGCTTCTCAGATACTTAGCACTCAGCTTTGATTCATTTAAACTTGAAGAATTTTTATTAATGCCACATGTGTCCTTTCTGTTTTTCTCTACTGGAGCCATGTGTTGTTCCTTTGGTGTTTTTATTGCTTGTGCTAGGAAGGTACTGGCCAGTGCTCTTACTGCCATGTTATCAGGATGTAGCAATGCCTAGCAAGTCATAGACAAGTGTCTGTTGAATGACTGAATGCATGAGGGCTAAGGGAGGAACCCGCTTACAGTGTGTGCTGTCTATGCTAACTAACAACTTTTTTCCATACTGGTTTTATTTACTAAACCATGTGGTACTTAAGCACATGATGTAAAGATACTAAATATTATCTGCATAGCAAGAGTAAACTGAGGCATAGGATTATTAAGTATTCTGTCCGTGGTAACATAGTTATTAATGTGGAAGTTAGGATTTGAATTTGTAGAATTATATTTCAGTAGGTAAGTTAGTCAGATAGGAGCCTGTAGAGTGAATAGATGATTAACCTCGAAGATGACTGTAAAGAAGTTCTCACATAGACATGGAGTGCTACAGTAGAACATCAGACACACAGAGTCTTAAGAGCAGCTAAAAGAGCTAACCCTGTTGGGCTGGTGAGACAGACGGCCGTAAGCACACTAGCCTGGGGCCTGGAGTTAACCTGAACACACATCAAGATGGAGACAGAGCAGCTGCACACACATGCCCTCTGGCCCTGACAGGTGGGCTGTGTATCTGTCTCTACCCTTCTTTGTGCCCATTCCCCACCAACAGTAAAAGTGATTTCTTTGTATTACTATCTTTTAAAGAAAAAGTTTGGCTAGCAGTGACCAAGACTGTGGAAATATACAGCATATGGCAATTGACAATTCCGGTGTCAACCCACCACACCAGACTCTGGTGAAGAAAATCCTGTCTAGCAAGGCTTACAGGACAGCTGACGCTGAAAATGGGTTGCTTGTATCTGTAATTTCTCTCATGTGCCACTTAATTTCTTCCCTAAGAATAGCTTTGGATGTTTCCCTACTGCTTGTGTGTTTATCTTGTGAGAATATTCTATCTACTGGGCACACATATATCTGTGGGTAGTCAGGAAGATGACTTTTCATTTAGCTATATAATTTTGATATATAGAAAATATACTGGGACATGCTTCCTAACTAGTTATATTTGTCCCAAGTGGACACTTAAAACCTGCTTTGTTCCTTTTGCTCCGATTAACAACACACAATTAGCTTACTTTCACCTCAGAGCAAGTTCAAACTAGACTAAAGGCTTTTTGTAAATAGATCTTAAGTTTAAAATTTTATAGCTATTCACAAGGTCAGAGTCACAGATGTCTGGTCAGGCTGCTGCACAGAGCACTCTAGAAAGAGCATGCCGGCTCTTTGCTTGCCAAGCTGTTAACAAGGGACCTGTGTCTCAGGGTTTGTCAGTGAGCACTGTGCGTGTGCCCCCCCTCCCCCAAGTCTGGTCAAGGTCTTTCTTGGTCCTATGACCTTGGGGCCTTGTGTTTCCGTGTAATGGCTCAGCTCCCTGTTATTTATTCTAGGAATGTGTTTTTGACCAATGAGAGGTAACTCTTGCAACTTTTTTTTTTAATCACTTCAGGGCTCCTGAAAGGAGAAGAGTTTTTAGAATAAAAGAAGATGGGAGGAATTGGAAATAGGACAGGAGAATTAGACTAGAAACAGAAGAATAAAGAGAGAACAATAAAGAGACTGATTCAGAAAAGCACATAAGGGAATAATTCTTTCACCCTTAGATATATATCCTAGGTCCTCTGATTGCTGTTATGCCCATTCTGAACCCTGAGAAGAAGGTTTGGGGCTGGACCCCAAAGGCTCTGGTTTTGGCAAGTTGTTTTTGAAAGTGAAAGTGGAGGCTAGAGAGTGGTGTGACCTGACTGTACAATGAGACGTGCTGCCGTGACTCTTTATCAGTGATTATGTCCTGCAGATATGGAAGGGAAGTAAAAACATCTCTTGACAGAGTACTCATGACCAGAGAGGGTTCTAGAGGATGCATGCCTATGCATATACCACAGCAAAATCAGTTTCCTTATTACTACCTGAGACGGCTCTGTGGAGAGGAGGACACTGCTGTCTTTTGTTCCCTTTCCTTCCCCCAGCAAGGCTCACACGCTCTGATAGAATTTAATGAATTAATAGGGTACTAAACATTACATCTGGTGCCTCCCCCCAAAAATGCAAATCCCCCATTAAAATATGTGTCTTCTTAAAAGCCTGGTCACATCACCATTTGAACAGTTTGAAGATAGGAGAACTGGAGTTAGGTGAGGTTGGCTTACTGCCTGGTGTCTATTTTAACTGACAGTTTGTCTCTTGTTTTACATCATGTGTAGGGGATTCCAAACGAAAGCTGGAGAATAACTAAGATAAATGAACGCTATGAACTGTGTGACACATACCCTGCCCTCCTGGTTGTGCCAGCAAACATTCCTGATGAGGAGCTAAAGAGAGTAGCATCTTTCAGGTCACGGGGCCGGATTCCGGTAAGTAGGCCAAGTGCCTTGAGACTGTGTAGGTACATTTCAGTATGGGATGATAATGATCATAGCATTTATGTGAGGGTATCAGAGACTAAATTAAGCCGTAAAGTTAAAACAGAATTACCTAGTTCCTAATTCAGAATCATTTGACCTGTGCGTTGGTTTCCATTCTGTATCTTGTATATTCTTTAGTCTTGGCAATAAATGCTTTCTTCCTACTGAGTCCAAGAAAGTAGAAGACTTTACAAAGATGATGTATGACTGTATCTCATAAGAGCAGATGAAATAATTTTAGGGGCAACAGCATAGAATCTGCATCCTTTACAGTTTTACTGATATGGTAATAAAACACCAAGCAGGATTTTGTTCAGCTCTGTTTTAGTGTACTTTTTCTAAGACAAGATTTTACAGTAATAAGTTTTACAGCAGTATCTGATACGGAAGTAGGCAATTTTCTACAAAGCAGAGTTGGCTAGATGGTGGCATGTTTTCCTGGCACCCTGAGGGGCCATCAGCCTGTTCTGCCAGAGGTCTGCTCTCTAGGAGGCTCACAAGCAGGGTAGCCATGTCACCATGTCCCTTTCATTAAGGTTTTATCATGGATTCATCCTGAAAGTCAAGCCACAGTCACTCGGTGCAGTCAGCCCATGGTGGGAGTGAGTGGGAAGCGCAGCAAAGAGGACGAGAGGTACCTTCAGGCCATCATGGACTCCAACGCCCAGTCTCACAAAATATTTATATTTGATGCTCGGCCAAGTGTCAATGCTGTTGCCAATAAGGTAAGGTTTTTTGTTTTTTATTTTTAATCGTTATGTGTTACTCTGGTGTTGCTAAAGCCGGCTAAATGTATCTGTGCTGTTGCCTGGTAAAAAGTGGTCAGACTCTATGGAGGCAGGGAGAGGTCAGACTACACTAAGGTCCGGTGACTTTCCAAGACTGCATTTCATTTGTATTATAGAAAAATTAGTTAATGCAGTTAGCTAAGTAAATGAAGAAAGTGCTTTAAAACACCCCAAAACTTGGAACATCTTTTGCTTCCAGGCCTATGTATTTGAAGTGAAATAGAATAATTTTTGTAAGTTAACATGTTTTATGTCACTGAAAACTTAGAATGGCATCCTAATGTCTGATAATAATCACAGCAAACATTAGACATTTTGTCCTCCCATTGTGAGAGGTGCTTGAGTGACCGTCCTTAACTCATGGAGGGTATTTCTCATTCTGGATCTGCATCTTGTTTGAGATTGTGAGTCCCAGGTGTCCTTTGCAAACGGCCCTTTTAAAGAAGGTGAGGGAGGACCATGTTATCTTAAGTCATTGCAGTTATAAAGCATAGTTATTTGTCATTTCTTTTTTGTCTGTTAAACTGATAACCTTTACTGGGGTAAAAACTACAACCTAGTTCATCATAAAATTCTTTCATTCAGTGAGTATTTAATAATTTGAATGCTCAAAATTACAGGCAGTTTTCAGTTTTCAAAAGCAGATTCACCTCATTTGAACTACATTTATACTCTGAACATCAAACAGGCACCATCCACAGACATGTTTTAATCACAATTTTTACATTACACTGTTTAACACACTGCTCATCACCAATGATCTTTCTTCTGTATGTTATCCTTCTTGATATTTTACTGAGTGTGATGCATAAATGAAGCCTGTAGCCAGGAAGTCAGATGCTTTTTCCAACAAGTACTGATTTTCCTCCCTAAATTCTGACCATGAATAAAAGCAAGAGTCAGACCTAGTCATCTGAGGAAAGCAGCAACTGAGGCCAGGCAAAGTATTGCTGCGTCACCCCCCCATTCTGGAAATCTGTACCACCACATGTGCAGCAGGTATGGGAGGCGCAGTTTTCACACCGGTGAGTCACTGCTGTAGCGTTCCTGTGGCCAGGGTCCCACCTGTGCCCTAGGGCAGTCGTTCTTCCTGCTCTGCCTCCTCACACACACCTGTTCTCCCGGCTGTGCACCTCTGCACTCTGCACCCCAGCTCACCTTCCAGAATACTCTGTTCCGGTCTTAGGATCCTCATCTGTGGCCTGCTCTTGCCTGTCAGCTTTTCCTTCACTCACCTGGCTGCACCACAGTGTGGGTTGTTTTTATTTTGTCCCCAAATCTCTGAGGTGCAGGTGAGTTTATTCAGGGTTAGGTTCCATTTGCTCTGTGGGCTACTGCTGACTGTTGATCTGCTACTTTGATTAACTTGGGCTAAAATAGGACCTTTTAAAGATTCTGGTTGAACTCTTTTTGTGAAGAGGTGCTTCTCTTACCTTTGATTAATCAGGATAATTGCTTCTTAATTCTCAGAGATGAGCAGGGTCTCTGGCTGCATGGGTAGGGATTTATAGAGACTAGATAACGTTGGCGTTTTACACCTACTTTAGGCCTTAGCACTTGGCTGTCAGAATGGAAAGGCCCCTCTTAGCTTAGGGTGCATAGCCTCTCACTGTGGAGACAAGGCTAGACTGAAACTTGAAGAGATCTGCCTGGTGAGTGCTGGGTGGGGTTAAAGGTGTGAGCCTCTGTGGTAAGGTTACCTACACTTCTATGATTAAAGAAGAAAGACAAAACAGCGGAAACAAAACTAAGAACGATGACTTTTTGGACGTTCTGCTGACTGAGGTCATCTGTAACCATTGTAGTCTGTTGCCTACCATTCATTGATGGCAGTCAACCTTTGGGGCTATGCCTGCCTATACTTGGTATTTTGAGACTCAGTAGTTAATTGCCAAGTATAGTTTTAAATGGTTTTCGTCCTTTGTTTTACTGTGTAGCCGCCTTTTTAAGAAGTACTTAATGGAGATATGACTCAGTGTCCATGAGAAAGTATCTGTTTCTTTAGTGCATTCACAGCCCATCGCCCATCGTGGCTGTGAGTTCTGCATTGTTCCCATCCGGGTTCTGTAGCTGGCTTGTCAAGTAGCTGCTGCCATGCTGTGAGTTGTAGTATTTCTTCCTGTTGCAGTGATGGGCTGTTTAGTCGCTACTATTACCATCTCCTGAAATTCATTGCAACAAAATTGCCTCGAAAATTTCTCTGTCTGCAATGTTATAGTTACTTTGTTAATTGTTATGTCCAGGGGCAGAACAGCTGACAGGGCTGCTGTGAGCATGTGCCAGTTACTCCCTGAGGCATGCTGGGAGAAACCTACTTTTTCTCGCTAGACCTCACATTGTAAACATCTCCCAGCAATCTCCCAAATAGTACTAGCAGCTAGGGACCAAGTATACAGCACGTAAGCCCATGGGTGACATATGTTCAAACTATAACACCCATTTTCACTCTTCAGAAGTCATCTTCGCTAACAAGTATTACCAACATTCATTTTTGTGACAACGTTGAATATAAATTGCTCTACAGACTAGAAATCTGACCAGTTTTTTAAATGAGTTTGGAGTTGAATTCAGAGGTATCATAGTCATGATCCTGTTGGTGGAGTTGCCCTACTGCCCTCCCAGTGTGCTCTTGTTAAAGGTTTAAGAAGTGTGATTTTATGTATGAGTTAGGCAAGACAGATTTTTTAAAAACATAAAATCTAATATTAAACTTTGGAAAATCAGGTTCTATTTTTCAGTTATAGCTTATTTGAAAAGCATGTATTTTCTTTTTTATTTTATAGATTTGAAGATAGTAAATGTCAGTGGAATTCCGTTTTCTATGTTAAATTTAAAATGAATCAGCTGCTTATAATATAAGCAAACTGATAGCTAATCTTGTTGGTTTGATTGAAAAGAGGGCTAGTGCTTCTGTGAGGGCATTTTGAGAGAGAAAAGCTCTGAGCTGCCCAATGGGTTAATCCCATTTTTGATTCAAAATTTAGATTTTACGAAGCTTAGTATATAGCAGGTGAATCTTAGCTGGAAGAAGGGGACTACTTGGGGTGTACCTTTGAGGGGTGACCCTCTGCCCTTCCTGCTACTCTTCCCTGTATCCTGGCTGACATGCTCTTTCCCCATGATGCACACACCCCAGAAATGCGGGGCCTACCTGTGAACTAAAACCTGTGGAACTGACTGAAGCCAGTCTCCTCAAGTGTTGTTTCAAGCAGTAGTAGAAGACTACCTTGGAAATCATTATGGCTACAATGAGTTTGGTTTTTTATTATTAACTGAAATGATGTGTAACGGAAGATAAGCTTGGGTGGTCCAGAACTCTTGCATATGGAATTTCAGTAAGTTTGAAGAGAAGTTTATGTAAGAAGTTATAGATAGGATTTGATATACACAGGGAAAGTTTTCTTTATAATGCTGAAGTGCTTTGGGATGATTCAGTTAATAAACTGATCACATAGGCTTAGCACAGATTCCATTTTAGAAATGGAATGAGGCAGTGTGTGTTTACTGCAAGTGGCCCTGAGCTACCCCTGCTTCCCACGGGGTTATCCTTATCCTCAAGCAACTTGCACCCTATTTTGTACATTTTAGATATTTTATGGAACTTTGTTATGGATGTCTACAAAAAATGGCTATGCATTCATTTATGATTTTCTGTGATGTATGCCCTTTTGCAGGCAAAAGGGGGAGGTTATGAAAGTGAAGATGCCTACCAAAATGCAGAACTTGTTTTTCTGGATATTCACAATATTCATGTTATGAGAGAATCATTACGAAAGCTTAAGGAGATTGTATACCCCAACATTGAGGAAACTCACTGGTTGTCTAATTTGGAATCTACACACTGGCTGGAACACATTAAGGTGTGTATCTGCTACTCCTTCTCAAAGCCTCCACTCCTTTGCCCGCCTTGGCTCTTGTACTGGAATCAGCAGGAAGAGCTGCTGAGGAGTGGAGCCGGTGGCTCTGTGCACACCGGGGTCTGAACAGGCTGCACCCTGTGCTGTGCGTCTGTTCCTGCTGCTGCTGGCTTTCCTCGTCCATCTGAATCCCGTCCACACTCAGTGTCTTTCACTCCTGACGTCTGTCTTCTCACCTTTCCAGTCTCTTAGCTTCTCAACTCCTACCCAGCTTCATATGCCATTCATGTATTTGCCTGGTTTTGAGACAAGTTCTTACGCTGAAGTCCAAGCAGCCCTCCACCTCTGACTCTGGGATTATAGGCATGACCCTTGGCACCTGTCTCCTTTTTGTTGATTGATGCTTCTTGCCATGTGACTGAGGTAGTTATATGTAACAGGAACTGTATTAGATTCTTTTAAGAAGTGTTTACCGTTTTTTATTAGATTCTCATTTTCCACCTTGTTTCCAGCTCATTCTTGCAGGGGCTCTTCGGATCGCTGACAAGGTGGAGTCAGGGAAGACATCTGTAGTGGTGCACTGCAGTGATGGTTGGGATCGCACAGCTCAGCTAACTTCCCTGGCCATGCTCATGCTGGATGGATACTACCGAACAATTCGAGGATTCGAGGTCCTTGTGGAGAAAGAGTGGCTAAGCTTTGGACATAGATTCCAACTAGTGAGTCAAGAGCCTTCATTTTATCACATGCTCATGTGGGCCTGTACATTTGTGTGCAGGCCAGGGTTGTTGGTTTTCTTCCTCAGTTACTGCCTACCTTACTATTTAGAGACATGGTCCTTCACTGAACCCAGAGTTCACAGATTCAGGGTACACTGCTAGCCAGAAAAACCAAAAGACCTGCCATTTCTGCTTGTCTATGCTGGGATTGCAGGCATATTCTGCCTAACTTTTACATACGTGCTGGGACCAAACTCAGATCTTGGTGTTTGTGTGGTAAATACTTAATGAGCCACCCAACACATTCATTTTTAATGTTTCACAGACATCTTGTGCAAAAGAGAAAATTGACCATTTATCTAGCAGAGTCAAGTCATGAGAGCACTGTATTTGGTAAAGTGTTAGTATATTCTTAATGTAATGCAGTCTAAACCCAGGTTGGGGCCATCTGTCGAGCATATGACCTTGTCTCTTCTGTGATTTCTGCCTAGAAATTCATCTGTTACTAATGGCCATGGTGCTGTCCCTCCAAATGGAGCATAAAGTATTGCTAGCTATTCCTTTGAATGGAAAGGACAGTGGTTCAGTTACTAATTCAGCAACATATAATGTTGCTAATATAAATCAGGGTCTAAAGAATTAGGAACTAAAATAATAGAGTAAAAAAAATCTGGGGTTTCAATGGTTAAGAACACTTGCTCTTGTAGAGGATTTGAGTTCGTTTCCCAGGGCTCAAATTAGGTAGCTTCCTATCGCTTGTAGCTAGAGCTAGAGGATTGGCAGTAGCCTTTTGGTGTCAGTCTTCATGTGCACATACTCATAAAAATAAAATAATTGTTTGTTTTGTTTTTCGAGACAGGCTTTCTCAGTATTGTTTTGGAGGCTGTCCTGGAACTCGTTCTGTAGACCAGACTGGCCTCAAACCCTCAGAGATCTGCCTGCCTCTGCCTCCCGAGTGCTGGGATAAAGGTGTGCGCCACCAATGCCTGGCTAAATTTTTAACTAAAATTGAACACCTTTAGACTAAAATAAAATCTACCTCCCTAGTTATGTTTTCCATAAATCTGGTAAGTTGTACAGATTCTCTTAGGGAAATTGCAAAATTGTGAGCCCTGTATTGTTCAAAGTTTATTATTTATTTAGAACTTGTGGTTCAACCCAGGGCTGTATATAAGAAGCACTTAAAAAAAATATTTTGAGACATGGGATATTGCCAAGTGTCCAAGGCTGACCCTAAATGCACTTTATAGTTCCACTTGTTATCTTCTAGCCTTGGTGTCTGAGCAGCTGGAACTTTCTGTCTGTACCACTGGAACTGGGCTTGTTGTTAGTTGGATTAAAATGTTTCTTTATCCATGAATCCAAAGTATATACCTAAAACATCTAAGGTGTACTACGAAATTAGTGTTTAGATTCATGTCCAGAAACAAGCATATACACCTTCTTAAGGCCATCAGTCTCACTTAGGCCCCCTGCTGGAATTGTCTTTGTGATAATGAAATGAGGCTTCTGCACTCTCTTTGGAGGCAGATGGAAAGCATCCCTTTGTTATTTTTCAGGTATTTGACCATAGCAGTTTCCCCACTTCACCCATAAGCTTCAGTTTTTCAGGGTGAACATCCTTGATTGGCTTTTCTCCCACCCCACTTGTCCACCAGTATTACGGTTCTCTTCAAGTGTGGCACCCATAGCTTGTCTCCGTTCTTTAGTGAAATGGGATTGTGTCCTCCTTGAAAAGAGAAAACATTTTGCCTTTGCTTCCTTGTACTATGCTTTTGAATTCAGGGTGTTCTTGTCCCTTCTTTTAGTCTCCTACATTTTCTATAATTTTTTGTAACATTATATATTGGTTATTCAGAACACACTAACAATTATACAGAGCCTCCTGATTTATTGTTTCATTCTACTTTTTCAGAGGCGTATGTATGTGGTTTTATCAGAAAAGTGTATAAGGCAAAAGTTTACTAAAAGTCTGATCTTCAAATTCTTAGCAACAAATACCATCCATGGTATCTTACATTAAGGAAAACAAACTGTACATTTTTGAAAAACACCCATCAACTATTCAAGTCTTACAAGAACCACAGTTAACATTAAAATGTTATTTCCTTCCATTCTGATGCACAGGATTAATAGCAAATCATACATGTACCTTTTCCATTTTGTCATGAGATTAAAAATGTTTATGCATAGGTAAGACTTGTTCATTTTTCCTGCTTTGCCAATGATACGCTCTAAGAAAACTTGTTTTCCTTCAATTGTGAGCATCTGGCAGGATAGAATACGCAGGCAATGGTAGTATGTGTTTGCATCACAAGTACCAATACTACGCACTGGGAAAGGTGAACTAAAGCAACATCTTAGTATTATGTTTTTACACTGAAGCCTGTCCCAGAAGTTTTATGCCCCACTTTTTGAATGAATCCCTGCTTTGGGATTTTCAGTTGCATGGTTGGGAACCCATTTGTGTGAAAAACAGATCCAAGGACTTCTGAAAGTTCTTGAGATTTGTGCTAATGTAGCTATGTTCTTAGGAGGTGCCCTTTGTCCCAGTGACTTTTCATAACAAATATCTTGACATAGGAAGTTAAATCTCTGGAACAAAAATCTGGGCTCTAAGGACTGTCTTCTCCTGTTGTTTTAGAATCTGGGTTTCATTTATTAAAGTAGCAATGTGGCAGTTTTGAAGAAATTAAAAATACTGACCAAATTACACTTTTAGAAAATAAGTTTCTACTAAGTAAAATATCTTACATGTGACATTTCATTTTTTGCTTCAGAGAGTTGGCCATGGAGATAAGAACCATGCAGATGCAGACAGATCACCTGTTTTCCTTCAGTTTATTGACTGTGTCTGGCAGATGACAAGACAGGTAACATGTCATCTATTAATACCCTTCTCATACATCTCTAAGCTCAGAGTGGGGAAACTTGATCACTATTTGGCTTGTGATTCTTGGGTAGAATTCCCAGTGATAACAACTGTTATTGTTGGGTATTAAAACATTTTAGAGAAATATGAATGAAGAGTTGGATACTAGTTGCATCTCAATCAGGGGGACTGATGAAAGATTCCTCGTATATAATAATAATTCTTTGCTAACTAAAAGCTCTGTATATTTTGCTAAGGAATATGAAGAAACAAGCTACATTGATCCCAGCCAAAACCAGGCACTATTTTGAGTTCTTTTAGCTGTTTTAAAGGAAAAAGTGTTGGGACAGAAAGTGTATGGCAGAGATCACTTGGCCCCTTCTCAATGTAGAGCTGTTAGAACCCTGTAACAGCATCTTAGGCAGCATTTTTGTTTGAGGTAGTTGGGTAAACTGACTCAGTCTAGAAAGGTACTAGAAGATAACACTGGTTCATGATAGGAAACAAAGCTGCAGGGTCTTGAAAATTATATCATAATAGTTATTTACTGGAGACATACCACTAAGATAGATAAGGCAAGAACCTGACCTAGCTATCTGATTGGTAGGATACACCAAGGCCACTAGGAATAACCTTGGTATTCACACTGACTAGGGTGCTGTTTGGGTAGGATGGGGAGACATTTTTTAAGAAATATAATTCTAAATTAAGAGGGGGGGGGGAAACCTGAAGTTGAAAGCACCTTATCAGTATTTTAACCACTTATCTAAACAAGTATTAGCAGTAAACTACATGTCTCCATAGATTTTTAGTTAGGTTGATAGGAACTTTTTCTAAAATACCAAGACTGTTGTTGTGGAATTTTTCACAAACTATTCAGATTTACAAATAAGTTTCTGAATGATTTTGTAATACCAGCAGAGTGAATTAAATTAAGCCTTTTTACTACCTTTTGGTGGTCTGTAGTTTAATTCTTCCTTTGGTCCTCTATAATTGGATTGTATAAAATTAAGTTACACACTGAGGCTTGGATAGGGGTGAATTCTGTTTTAGACTGATGCTGCCAGTTGTGAATTACAAGGACCTGTTCCTCAACAAGATAAATAGGTTGGCTTGTAAGTTATCTGCATAGCTATAGATACTTACTTCTGCATGTATAGAGATGGCATATATTGCTGAACACGTCTGTTATTTTTAATTCTTAGAAATAAGACATGTTGAAAACTAAACATGGAAGACCAGACTCATCAGAATTGCTCCAAGTCATAATTCTGTGGCTGGCAGCTAGAGGGTCAAGGCAGAGCAGACACAAAACCAGCATTAAGCTCACTCAATACTTGCTGCATGAGAGAGATTCTACCTTGCAAAGGAAAACAGATAATGACACAATGGCTTAGGTCGTTTCAAATCTGTCTAAATACTATTACAAAGGATCTACTCGCGACAGGGATAATTATGCTTGAAAAATGTCTCAAATTTGTGGTGCTCAATTTGCAGTTCCCTACTGCGTTTGAATTCAATGAATATTTCCTCATTACCATTCTGGACCACTTGTACAGCTGTTTATTTGGGACATTCCTCTGTAACAGCGAACAGCAGAGGGGGAAAGAGGTAAAGTATAGCTCTAGCTTCCACTCTGGTATGTATTTATTTTTTTATACCTCACAGGATATACTAGTATCACTTCTATCCATGAAGTGGGGATGAGGAAATCACACCAGTAATACTCCAGAGGGTAAGGTGGAAGGGTCACAAATCTGAGGCTAGCCTTTTAAAACAGATCGCATCTAAAATGAAGTCTGAATAAAAGAGAATGCTAGAGTTGTAGAGTTCAGTGATGGACTGCTTGCCTAGCTCTGTGAAGTGCTTTGTTCACTTCTACAACAAAAACAAACAAAAGAACCACTCTGTACAAGTTGGTGGTACTGGTAGTGCCCTCTAGGCACATCAATGTTTATTCTGAAAACTGTCAGAAAATAAGTTATTCTGGAAGGGTACTCACACTGAGAAGCCTTGATACCAGGTTCAGATGTTAGACTCAGTAATATGCAAGTTCATTTTTATTTCTGTAAAGCAGGCAAGTAGTGTTTACTGTTATGAAAATTAAGTACTTCTTAGACTGTACCTTGCAGGTATTGTATCTTACAGTGAATGTATTTCTGTGCATGGTAGGCTTGTTATGTGATACTAGATAATCATCAGTAGAGCACTGCAATGTTCTAATTACTGTCAGTCTTCTGAGAAACTCCCTTAAGTCTTAGTTGTAATTTAAATACCATAAACCCTCCTTTAAAACGAGGGTATCAAATCAATCTTCCATCAATTGATGGTCCTTTGGGTTCTTTACTTAGGTTGTTGTGAATAGTATTGCTTTAAACGTGTGGAGCACTTTTATTGTTTGTGTATGGGCATGTGTGTTTGTGCTGAGGTATTGGATGCTCTGTAGCTAATGTTTTGAGCTACCCAGTGTGGATAAATTTTGATCCTATCTCCAGCACTGAGGCACTTTATGTGCCAGTTTTACTCAATCTGCAAATAGAACTGTTGTGCATCTCAAGTTACTGTGTTCATTTCCATTGAAGTAGGTCTATCACTGGCTATTTTCCTCTGTTGTTGATTTTAATAATCGCACACTATACAAATTTCACCTAAGGTGTAAACTGCTGATGTGGTAGAGAATCTTTACCATTTTTTCCCTCTTGCAGAATCTTCCTAAGAGGACAGTGTCATTATGGTCCTACATAAACAGCCAGCTGGAAGATTTCACCAATCCTCTATATGGAAGCTACTCCAATCATGTCCTTTACCCAGTAGCCAGCATGCGTCACCTTGAACTCTGGGTAGGATATTACATAAGGTGGAACCCCCGGATGAAACCACAGGTACAGGTCTATAATACATAGTATGACTCTACTAGGTCTGTCACACTTAGAAACTTCCTACTCTGTCCATTAGTGATTACAATCCACAAAGTCGCAGAAGCACTGCATCGGACAGTCGGGAGTGTATACATCCTGAAAAAAATAACTTTATAAAAGCCTAAAAACTGTAGGTCCTTAGTTCTTAAGAGTTTTAGCTAGATGATGTATTTGTAAAGTAGCATCTTCCAGAAATACCTGAAGCCATTGAAAGATCAGTGATGGCAATAAAACCTGACTGTAATTCCACTGAGGAACTCAGGTTTGGGGCTGTCAAGGTGGTAAAAACAGCCAGTGTCACAGAGCCTGAGGAATGATTAAGATCTTAAGTTTGGCCGGGAATTCTATTAGTGTTTTGTTTGGTCTTGCAGGAGCCCATCCACAGCAGATACAAAGAACTTCTTGCCAAAAGAGCAGAGCTTCAGAGAAAAGTCGAGGAACTTCAGAGAGAAGTTTCCAACCGCTCAACCTCCTCCTCAGAGAGAGCCAGCTCTCCTGCACAATGTGTGACTCCGGTTCAAACTGTTGTATGAAAGGACAGGGGCCTCATTGCTAGGAACTCTACAGCACCTTACGGGTAGAAAGCCTTCCGTGTTTTAAACCCATCTATGGGAGAACCTTCAGATGCTGTATTTATTTCAAGTCTCTCTTAGATGAGTTTAGAAACCTCTGGTGCAGGTGACAATGGAAATCATTTCATTTGTAATTAAAGTATGACACTAACTTAAGTCACCTAAAGAATACTAAAGTATTGGAGTCCTATTTCCACAGTGGGAACACGCTTTTAATTTTAAAATGTCTTAAAAAAAAAACTGAGTATCTGGTAAGATCTCTAGGTGGGAGAAAAGAGCAGCTACTTTAATACCAAGAGCATATGTTCTGGGCCTTCATGTCAAATTCTACTCCCTTCTCAATTTCCCATTTTTTGTGGTATTTAATATAGTAAAGAAGCATTGTCTTGATATTATTATGGCATGTCAATTGTTAAAAATTGCTGCTGACATTGTAACTAGGGTATTTTCAACAGCAGTTAGGAAATAATGATGCCTTATATATGTGCTTTGCGGGGATGAGGGGACAAAGCAGTAGCTGTTATCCAGGAATTCAAAGAATATTCCACACCCTTCAGATTAATTTACATTTCTATGTTGATCACTAACATCACGGAAGACATTTTAGAAACTATTACTCTATCTTAATGCTAATTGGCAAGTTTTAAAACAGTATTTTAAAACCTTAAAAGTCTGACTATAGTGCTATGCTTAAATTTCACATGAACAGTTTACCAAAGAACACACTGCATGTAAAGAATTACAATCCAAGTACCAGCAAGTAAAGCCTTTTTTCTCTATTTACCTGAGTTAGGTGCTGGTGTGAACAACTGACCTCCTGGTATCTATTTTACTCTGTATAAGAGCCATATGTAATGTACTGTAAGAAAGGAGCTTATTACCACTTGGTCTTTTAATTAAATGACTTCAAACTTTGTCCTTGTCCACAGTTGTCTAAGGTATCTCTTCCAACCACACTCCCAAAATGTTACCTAGAAATGTTTGAGCCCACCTGTCCTTGACACCTGAATCAAACTATAAAAACAACCCTAATCTCAGTCACTCAGTCATTATTGTCTGAACTGTCCTCATTCTGTTTTTGATGCTGGGCTAGTACAACACACATATATGCACAAAGGTCTTCCTATCCCTCTTTTGTTTTTGCTTGTCTGGACATTGAATCTGGAGCCTCACACTTGCGAGGCAAGTGCTGTGCTACTGAGCTATATCCCCGGTATGCCCAGTATTAACAAAATTGATACCAAATGATTTGGTTTGATATAAAATTAGTTATAAGAAAATTTTTAGGAGGTATTTATGTTACTAACAGTATTCAAAATACTTTTATCATCTTGATATGGCACAAAGGGATGCAGATGGAATCCAGACATTAAAGCTGATCGTACAATCACTCAAAAGTCAGAGGAATATAAGTGAAACTCTGTTATGTTTCCCTTCAAAACCTCCTGATGTCTTCTATGGCCTCCAAGAAAGCTTCGATGCGGAGTGTACACACTAAAAGCACTCCCTGTGGAGCCCAACTGCACTCCTGGCACTCCTTTCTTACTCAGCATAGCATCCATGCTGGCATCTTGTACAGACAGAGTACAAAGGAGCTCTGCAATGAGTGAGCGAACAAGAAAATCAAGGAGTCAAAACCCAAAGCCCTACAGTTTGGATCCAGCTAGAGATAGGTAAGACTGAACATCTTTCAATTACTATTCTAATTAGGAGTTGGAGGCATTACCACTCAAATGACAGTTAACGGTTTAATGTTCTAATATTCAAACAAGAAATTAATAAGTGTAGTTAGTTGAAGTGGTGGTTGAGATGTAGTATTTACCATGTCATCAGAGCAGTTCCTCACCTTCCTGGGGTCTATGGACTCACTGTTGTCAATTCATTGTTGCTGGAAACCTGCTTGTCAGAAAATTGCACACACATGTAAAGTTTATATACAATTTCAGGAGGTTTATAAACTTCAAATCTGTAAGAACTCTGAGAATTCTAACTAGAAAATTGTAGCATGATCAGTTCATGCTGTTAAGCTGGAATCCATAACCTCCACCTCAATTCCTTTAGTAGTATATGGCTGGCATGTTCATCAGCCTATCTGAATCACTCAACCAGTCACACTGGGCTTAGGTCTCGAAAAGCAGAATGATAAACGTGCACCGAAAACTAATCAGGATACTAATATGTACTCTTGAGATTGTGCAACAAACAAAGCCTTTGTTAGCTGGCTAATAAGAGAAGTTTAAAAACTGCTTTATTGATTTCAGTACCAAGTTTATAAAGTTTAACATGTTGATCTATTCAAAATTATAATTTACATTGACATAATGATAGATGTGTGTGTTCAACACACACACCACCCCTATTCAGTATGCTAAAAGCATGGGGTTCAAGATTAAAAACCAGTGCTTAACTGAATAACATGATTACAAAGATATTGATTTCACAACATTCCCCCCACTTCTCCTAATTCTTTATTCCAAAATGTAATTTATTTCATTAACAACTGTTTATAGTTTTATGAAGATGTTGTTAGATAGTTCATGGGTAACTTTTTAAAAATGTTTGGGTCTTTAAGACTGACTTAATGCTGATCAGCATCTGAAATACCAAAAAGCAGAACAAAACAAAGTCCTCTTAAATATATAAATATTTAAATACAGAAACCCTCTATCAGTAGTTGGAAACAGTACATTTAATGGTCATCTGGAGAGGGGGAAGTAGAGGTCACCTCATGCCTGGGGAAGATCTAAAAATGAGACTTAACAAGCACTGACTATGAAGACAGTCTCATTCTGAATTTTCAAACCCAATTTACATATAGTCCTACTTAAAAAACACACCCACAAGTAAAAAACTGGTCATTTGTTTACAAAGTGCAGTATGAGTATAGCAAATTCAAAGAAACAGTGCAGCATCTCATGCTGTAAAATTCCATTTCCATGTAGTTGTGTTGCACGACACAAGAGACTGTGTTATGAAGCTGGGCCCCTTGACACCTGCTAGTAATGGCAACATCAGCAAGCATGAAACCTGGAAAGTATTGTCACTGTCCAGTAAGGTACATCATTTATGATCTGGTGTCAGTAATCCCAACACAGGTTACTGCTTTGCAGTGAATTCTGTATGGTTTGCATTTCCTTCAATAACTGAAGATTTTTCCTGCTTTTTTCTCCAGGTCTCTGTTTGGCAAGATCCTTCTTACTTGTGGTCCTTGTGACTCCAGATGAACGATTGCTGCTGTTTCCTTCTTCATCAAGAGTCTTTTTGTTAGGTTTTAATTCTTTCTTCTGCTTATCTATGTTTTGTTTCTCCAGCTATCCAAATGATCAAGACAGGGAAAAAAAAATCAAATTCAATAAAAACATTTTCTTTTAGCTCAAGTACTTTGTTTTTTACACAGGGCCTTCCTATATAGTCTTAAATTCTTGAATCTCCTGCCTCAACCTCCTGAGTGTACCAGTAACTTAAATAATCTAACACTCAAATGATACAATTCTACAATCATTTAGTATTCAGTACTTAAGTATGTAAAAACACATACAAAATAAAAAAGGTATATTCACATTAAATAAATGTACTTCTAGAGAAATGTACTTCTAGAGAAACAGACCGTGTATTTGAGATTACTGTGAAACAAAGGGTGAGTCTAGTTCCTGGGCTGACAGTAACTGAAGTTTAGGGAGAAGTGGGCGAAGCTGAAGTAGGTTTTGGTGTAAGCAAACACACTACTTTCCCCACATTTAATCTGACAACTGAAAAACTCTAGGTGTATTTTAGACGATTTAATTTGGTAAAACTCAACCACTTAAATTTATCCATAAGTTTTTTTTCATAAGGCTAAGGATATTAAATATATTCAGTAAAAACATATTCAGTAAACCTAACTAAGAATTAATACTTCTTTAAACCATGTAACACAGACTGTTAATAAAACCCTCAGGATTAATTTAGACAAGTAAGTATACGTGCATCATCAATTAGTATACATGAAGGAGAAACATGACAAACAAGTGAAGGGAGCTACCTGGGCTTGGTATTTTCGAACTTTAGTTATCTGGTTGGCCTTTGCTTCCATTCTTCCCACTAATGCCTCCAATTCACACTCCAAGTTGTCTTTCAGTTCCTCAGTTGGTGACTCCTGGATGAGTTTAGCAAGCTGCTGGTGATCACTACACACAAAAGTGGAACTCCCTTAAGTTTCCCATGTTTAACAATTACATCCTTTAAATCTCAGTATGGGAATTTACCACTCTTTTAAAAAATAAATAAGGACCCATTTTGTTTTTTAAACAAAGGGCTGCTGTTTCCAGGGAACCTGAGTTCAGTTCCAGCAACCACATCATACATAAGTGGGTCACAACCACCTGTGACCGAGCTCCAGGGTCTCTGGTGTCTGTCTTCTGACCTTTTTGGACATCTGCACACGTGACATACACAAAAATAAAAGTAAATGAAAATGAAGGTATATGCAAGTAATTTCTTAATTCCAGACAAGTTTGTGTTCATCCAGGGTTGAAGGCTGTACATGGAGTTCTTAATTAGTCTAAGTAATATCCCGGAGTCAGATATACAGGAAAATGCTCAGAGATCAGACAGAAGGAGCAAGCCACGGCCACACCTTACTTCTTTAGTATCTCCAGACAAGAGAACGAGTTTCTATAAATCCCTGCTTATACCTGTTTCTGCCCAACTATCTCATTTCCTGTCTGTCTGTACAGACCTGTATGGTTAGCTAGTGGCAAGCTCCATTTTCTAACCTTCAGTGTACAAGCAAGTATCACCACATAGGTTAGCAGATATTTATCTACTCTTTACTCCCTCCATGAACACTACATATGAATAAATTCTATAGGATGACACTGATTTTCAAACACTGTCTTAACTTATCAGTTACATTAGCTAATCCTCAATACTATTAAGCTTTTACATGGCATTAACAATTAGAAAAGGAGGTTTTAGACATGATATTTACATTTACTTAATTCTCAACAACCAGTGGGCTAGTGTAGGGATTACTAACTCAACATCTATTAACAAATTTAGGATTAATAAATCCAAGGCAGCTAAAAAATGAGATTTTAGAACCAAATGCAATTTTAAATTAAAAAACTCACAAGCTCATTTGCCCAAATTCATCCTGCAGAGTCTGTAAGACATCCGACAATTCTTCACTGACACTGCCAGAGGGAGGTGTCACTGACTTCTTACTCTTGCTACTTCGTGAACAGGCTTGCTTTGCCAAGGGAACACTGTTAACAACTCGATCATTGCACAAAGCTTTACTGTGGTGCTTCATCAGATGCAAGACATGTTGAACGTTAGCTACCACGGCATGGCTGGGACTGGTAGACTAAAGAGAAAAGTAAGTTAAGCAAGCAATATCCTCTATCTCACTTCCTAGTTCTTCACCTGGGCAAAGTACACCACCTGTAAAGTCTACGGCACACATATACTATTCTGTGGTAAACTAGCAACCACCTATCCACCCGTGTCACATACTTAGTCCAGCATCATATAAACTTGGGTGTTTTGGTGCACATCTATAATTCCAGCACTTGGGAGGTAGAGGCAAGAGGGGGCCAAAGCCTGTTCATCCTCTGCTGCAGTGGGGTTCGAGACCTTATCTAAAACTGAACAGAGCAACACCACCAAAACAAAACAGCTTGCGTTCTTAGCTCCACCACTCTCATTATTCTACCCGAAATCCAGCGATGTGCTCCTAAGCAGCCAAACTCCTTAGGATGGAGTAGGACACAGCCTACACTTCTGCTTAACCTCTACAGTCTCTTGACTTAATTATGTGAGCAAATTTTATTCTTTGTTGAAGTAACTTTCTTACCCTACCTTAAAACCTAGTTCAAATATGCCATTTCCAAAAGCCTGGGAAATTAACTGCTCCACTTCTCAGTTAAGCCACTGCAGTTTTTACATTTGTCTATCACTGTTTATCACAACATAATTCCACATATCTGCATGTCATTTGACCTTCCAGGTCCCAGGAGTGGTTCTCAACCTTCCTAATGGTTGCTACTTCATAATTTTGCTACTGTTATGATGTAAATATCAGTGTTTTTGTAAATGTAAGTATCTTGAGGTTTGCATCATGCTGGAGTAGTAGGAAGCACTGAAGCGTGTTTGCCACATCATAAACAGAAAGAACAAAACCTGACAGCTGTCTCAAGCTTCTTGTTTTCAATAGGAAATAACAATCTCAATAGTTGGCTGGGCTTGTTGAACTCAATAAGCCATCAGCAGAAAACTTGTTTAAACTGCAGACTTGGCCAGTGTGTATACTTTAATATGCATGCAAGAGCAAGTTTTGAAAATTTGTGTTACTGTTACTTTTCTGATTCATAATGTAATTTAATATCAGTTGAGTCTAGTAATGAAAGATTTGGGCTTTTCCAGTGCCTCATTTTTATTATATACAGAAGCATGGCTCTATAACAATATGTAATTTTAAAACTGGTTATCTAAAATCTGTACAGAAGCTCAAATAAGCAATTGTATTTTCTTAAAACTTTTAGAATAACATTTCATAAGGAATACATAAAAGGACTTCACATTGAAAAGCATGAGTATTGTCCTTCGTGAGTAAAGGCTTCAATGTGCATTACCAAAGACAGCAACATGGGTATGATAAGACTCTGGACAGGACGAAGAATGAAGACTGTCAGGTGGACAAGGGTAAATGTGTCACTACAAATTCAAGAATCCTATTCAGGGATAGCAGGATGACTCAGTAGGTACACATACTCTTGCTGTAAAAGCCTGATGACCAGTTCTATTTCCAGAACCCATTGTGGAAAGAGAGAACTCCCTTCAAGTTGTAGCTTGACCTCCACATGCACTGGTGCCCCCTCCTCAGTTTTTCACAATGAAAACAAATGTTTTTAATAAACACATAAATCAAAATATAACTTCACAACCATACTTACAGAGGCTAATATAAAGTCAGGAGAAAACTTGTTCCTTGATTTGATTTTATAAATAGTAGGTTGTGCCTTCTAAAAGGTTCCTAGAGCCAGGTACATACCTACAATCCCAGAAGCCTGAGGCTGAGGCAGAAGGATTTTTTTTTTAAAGTTCAAAGTCTGCTTATATCCCCTAAAATGTGTTCTAAAGACAAACAGGCTGGAGATGGCTCAGCAGTTAAGAACACTGACTGCTCTTGCAGTGGAATTCCAGGTTCAATTCCCAACACCTACATGGCAGCTCACTATCATCTGGAGCACTAGTCCCAGGGGATCCCACACCCTCTCTGGCCTCTGTAGGCATTAAACAGATGGTACAGACATATAGGCTGGCAAAACACCCACACATTAAAAAGAAAGAAAAAAAAACATAAAAATCAATAGCTATAACTCACCTTTCCAGCAACAAAGGGCATATCGCCTAAGCACAATCTGTAATGTGGCTGTGCACCAAAATAGTTCCTAGGACCTTTCTAGAAGAGGAAAAAAAAAGAAAGCCATTTCATTTAATTTAGTAAACTAACCCAAGACTCCAGCTCACTGTGAAACTACTTAGTGGGTACCTAGCTACACCAGTCACTTTGTTGCTGTGACCAAACAGCAACAAGGCTTCAAGAAGCTTTGATAAGACACAACTCCTCGTGGAAAACACATGCCACAGTAGTCTGGGTGGTGGGTAGTCATCACACTGCACCAACAGCAGAAAGCAGAAACAGGACAGGAAACGGGCCAGCCTCAGAACCTCAAGCCTGCTTTCTAGTGACTTACTGGGGGCCGTTTTACATTCAAACCATGACACTTGTTTATATTGGGGCTCACAATATTACCTGGAGGATAAGGAAGGCAGAGTGCTAACAAAACAGCTAGCAAGTGTTAAGAGGAACAGTATTCACAAAGCATTTTAAGAGTCAAAGGTAATGAACACAGCAGAATATTCCTAGTGTTTTTATGTTCTTTTGAGAGTTCCCAATGCTTTCATATAGGCCCTTACTACCAGGGTTGAGGATTCAAAAGTAAATTTTATTTATCTTCAGGTTTGAGTGCAGAACTAAGAATGAAAGACTCGCTCTCTCAGGATCCTAATACCACACGGCTTGAGTGTTTTTTACACCAATTTTTACACAAAATTGGTACTTAAGACTGTGACTAGTTCAGTTTTCATACCTTTTCTGGTGGTTTTGACTTCTTTTTTTTAATTTTTCTAGTGCTGGTTGGAACATATGAAGTTGTCTTATCTTCAAAAATAAGTCTATTTGCTTCTAGACCAGTCTGCAACTAGAAAAAAAATTAGCATAAAATTAATGATGTAAAAGCTACAATTCACATTTGAGGTGCCATAGATAAGTCTATAACTACAGTGGTGGTCATCTCACTGGAAGCAATGGCATGGCTGTACAGTATGTCTTCAGTCTCTCATGTATGTGAACTGCTGATCTCTATGTAATTGGTCATGTCTTGCCTGGAAGCACTGTTCTACTACTGGTGGTTACTCTGCAAATTCTACTTCAGGAATGAAATGGAATGCATGTAGCTCTAAACTGACAGTGTGCTACATACAGACAAGCAAGCAAAACACCTATACATATAAAATAAAAATAAATCTTGGGGGACGGGGGAAGCTGCAATTTTCTCTAAACTATTTTTCAACAGCCCTACTCTCTATCTATGAAAGTGGTTATTCTGTATCTTTCTATATATCAAAAATAGTCTAGAGTTTGGTAAGAATTCTCATGACCAGATTCCTCCCCAAGGAGTTTAAAAATTCCAAATGAGGAAAAGTTCCCCAGAAGTCATGACTGAGTTAAGAAACAGCACAAGTAATGAATGAAATGCAAGGAATATTGAAAACATCCCTTTGTTATCTCATGTGCTCTTAGGACAGCATAGTCCTGGCAGTGGGATGCTAAACTCTCCATCCTCAGAAGCATGACACACTAGACAATTTCACAGGGTATTACCCCTCTGGAATACTTATACTGTCAACAAGTGTCACCAGTAACAAATAAGGGCTACTTTTGATCACTTGTTTGATTTCCCTAGCACTATAAAACCCAGGCTCTGGATGGTTAAATACTCTGTTCAAGATTACACAAATCAGAACAGCAAGATAGAGAAAATACCATCTCCTTCACCACCTGCCTTCCATAGCCTTCACCATCAGAACTTGGTAAGAATTCATCAACCAATGAATTTGTGAAAATTTCTATTTAGCATATAAGGACTATATACTACAATTTAGTAAAGAAAAAAAACCAAACATTTGCAGTGTCAAAAATGGTTAAGTGACCATTTAACTCAACAAGCACACAGAGAAAAGTAAATCTACAAAAAATATCAGGCTTAATAAAAAATAGGCATATACAATCAATGACTCAAAGAAGCACTAGAAGAAAGAGACTAGTATTTCTATTCCTGCATCAGCAGCTGTGAGAAAGCAGGACACTAGACAGATTCCATACGCTTAACTGCAAAGTGTCCATTAGTAACTGCTCAGATCAGGACCTGCTTCTTGAACTTGGGTTCAAAAGTTACAAACATTTGCATACTCTTTTTTTTTTTAATGTATACAGTCGTCTGCCTGCATGCCAGCAGAGGGCACCAGATCTTACTCAAGGTGGTTGTGAGCCACCATGTGGTTGCTGGGAATTGAACTCAGGTTGGTGCTCTTAATTGCTGAGCCATCTCTCCAGCCCACATTAGCATATTTTGGGGGGAGGCATGTAGGTAAATTTATTGTCGATTACCTCATTTAAAAAAAATAAAATAAAAAGGAAAACAAAATAGGCATTATTAAACGTTGATGACGTTCCCAGGTAGGTGATCACGTGAATTGCAGCAAGCTTATTTGTACATTGTTATCTGTATGAATATAACATTAGCATAATCTTAAAGGGGGTAGAAAAGAAAAACTAGGAAATATCTGAGCAAATAACCATAGAGAAAAGTCTATCTAGTTAAAATATAAAACTTTATCTTACAGAGTCTAAGTAAGCCCTCTGTGTTGGACATGTTTTTACCTCACTAGTATTTATTTATTTATTTATTTATTTATTTATTTATTTAGATTTTTCAAGACAGGGTTTCTCTGTATTGTTTTGGAGGCTGTCCTGGAACTCGCTCTGTAGACCAGGCTGGCCTCGAACTCACAGAGACTCGCCTCCCTCTGCCTCCCAAGTGCTGGGATTAAAGGTGTGCGCCACCACCGCCCAGCTATTTATTTGTTTCTTTTTGGTTTTTCGAGACAGGGCTTCTCCGTGGCTTTGGAGGCTGTCCTGGAACTAGCTCTTGTAGATCAGGCTGGTCTCCAACTCACAGACATCTGCCTGCCTCTGTTTCCCGAGTGCTGGGATTATAGGCGTGCACCAGCACTGCCCAGCACTAGTAGTTATTTTACATGTATGGATTTATGTATTACAAAACTGCCTGCATTTATGTATGTGCACATGCCTGGTGCCCCAGGATTAGAAGAGTGTCAGACACTGGAATTGGAGCTATAGATGGTTGTAAGCTATCATGTGGGTTGTTGAAAATCAGCAGGTCCACTACAAGGGCAACCACGGGCTCTGATCTCTGCACTATCTCTCCAGCTCCAACCTCACGGGTTTAAAAATACTAATCCAGACTTTATAATCTGAAATAGCCAAAGAACTGCTCAAAGTTGCATTCCTACTTTTCAATACTAAGCTATCTCTTTAGGTCTGCATATGGATCTGGTATGCTCATGTGTAATGGTTCACCACGAAAACACTTGTCCACCTGCTCATCATTCCACTCACCTCTGCTGCCTGCGCCTGCATACGCTTCCGTTCCTGCTCTTCTTCACGCAGTTTAGACTCCAGCTCTTGCATTTTTTTCTAGTAAAAAGAATATCAGAGCAGATAATGGTTAAAAGTATCTATTTGTAGGGTTTTAAGGATAGTCTTAATAAGCATGTTAGTTCACTCTAGTAATGGTTCGGGTATTGCTAATATCCATGACACTCCTAATAGATCACCTAAAAGTAATTAGTGATGTAGATATGATTTAAGTGGCCAGAATTATGGGGGGAAAAATCCTATGGCCAAAGAACACAGCTTTGTATAAAGGTTTAGGTAATATAAAGACAAATCTAGATCTTCACTCAGTAGTATTAAATATCTCTCATGTAAAATACAATTAAAAGTAAAGTTAGTTCAGAAAAACATTATATGATACAAGTTTTAAGTATCAAAACCATATCACCTTTTCTGTTTTCAAAAAGAACTACATATGTCCAGCCACCAAGATTGCAAAATGTCAACATTTCTTTTCAAATTATTTTCTTTTTAAAGACTATGTATAAGACCTTTACATTATAAATATCCATGTTTATGAAAATATAGTGACAACCACAGCATACTACATCAGTAAGTAAAAAAGTCATGTTCACTAACTTCTGCAAGGGCCTGCATTGTGGTGAGTTTGTTGTATTCCTGTTCAAGAAGATCCAGTTTTTCCAGCTGGGTCTGAACATGGGTTTGATCATGTTGCCGTTCTCTTTCTAGGGAAACCTGAGAAACAGCATCAAAATGTAATATAATTGATTAAAAAGAACATCCAACATAATACTGTATGTAATTTACCGGTCCTCTTACAGATCCTCTGCTGGATATGGAAAGTAATTCTAGGAATAGAACACTAAGAGAAGATCTCAGGGGTACCAATCATCTGTGTCCGTCTCATTTTGTATGTGTATGCACAGTGTGACTTTTGATATCAGAGGACATCTTATAAGAGTTGGTTTTCTCTTTTTGCCATGTGGATCCCAGGGATGAAACTTGGTTTCTCAGGCTTCAGTGCAAGTGCCTTTATCCACTAAGCCATCTCACCAGGGTTGGAATATTATTCTCAGTGTAGTATTTTATCAAGTGTATGGTTTTACATAAGGGCATATATCCTTATAACCTAGAATTACTAGACACACAGGCTACATAAATACTTGCAGTCAGTCTGGTCCCATTAAGTAATGTCTTAATGACTATAAGAACTCGATTGCATTTATTTCCTTTTGAATGTATATTTTTTTCCTTTAAGAATATTTAGTAATAAATGGCTTCTGAAGAGAACTGTCATGAGTACACTGGAACACAAGACAAGAGGACAGCTGATGGCACCAAAAACTTTCATTGCGCTGGGCCAAGTTTATGACAAAATGACAGCACTCTGACCTTGAATGCATGTTTTTTCCTTCAAACTTAGGGTCTGATTTAGAAATACTGCCCATAAACTTAAGGAATAACGGTCTCAGAATAAACAAATCAGAATAAATGGGCAAATAGACTACATGGATATATTTGGAAAAGTCCAACACTAAGTATCTGAATATGCCGTTGCCATTTCTTCAAATGTCCATGACAGTGGGGAATTATATAAGAGAACTCTGAATAATGAAACAATTAAAGCAGTAACACAGTGAAGACATGTAACATGTAGACATGTAACGTGTGACTAATCACTGGCTCACTGGCACATCTTTCCCAACCCTGCTGCATAACTGCTCAAGTCTTATTTTTCAAACTGGGATCAAAAGTTGACATGGACTAGAAAATAGTATTTCTCTTTTACAACTGCAGATTATCTAACATTTAAGCATATAAGAAATCAAATTTTACATAATAAAGTTAAATTGTTCATATGAAAAGAATGTTTTAAAAAATATACTGGACACTGATGTATTTCCTCTACAAATGTGTAAGTTACTTAAGTACAAAGACTATTGATGCAACAGGAGAAAAGCATTTTGTTTAAAATTTAACAAGTATAGTAGCAGGGAACGTAGTGAATCTGGTACAGTGCTTGCCTTACATGTAATCCACAGTGTCACATACACCAAGAGCAGTGGTATGTATGTGCCTGTAAACTCAGTACTTTGGAGATGGGGTCGGGAAGATGAAAAGGGCCACAGTCATGCCTGAACAACATAATGAGATCGTGTTTCAATAAGCAAATTAATTATAAGTTTGTTTGTTTAACTGCAAGCATTTTTACAAAGCGTAGTTTATTTCAGGGGGTACACATGGTTATTTACACATTTGATAATGCAGACTGCAAAACATTAACATGACTACTTTTCAGATTTAAGCACAAGTCTACCTAGTACAAGAATCATGCATAATAAACAGAGCCAATCAAACCACCATTTACTACACTAAGCCCAATCGCTTCCAGCATGGGGCTTTAACCTCTCTGAGAAGAGGTCTGCTAATCATCTGTCACCACTCTTCATTTCATCTGGAAGGCACCATACCTGCTTTTCTAAGACAGATGTCCTCTCCATTTCTGCGTGCTTTATCATATTTCGCATGTATTCCAATTGTTTTTCTAACAGATTACATTTATTTTCTGCAGCTAACAACTGGGATGTTAGTTCTAAAGTAAACACACACAAAAAAGTAGTGATTAGTTAACACAGAGGCTTGTCCCAACAGCTTATAAATGGGATCTGGACTTACAGTAATACAAACATGGGCTAGAGGTAAGGTTTGCAGTAGAGTGTTTGCTCAGTATGCCTGAGTACTGCAAAACAGCTGCCCCCCAAACCGCCAGTCCTCTCAGTAGTCCTAGAATCCTCTCTGGATACTTGTGTCCTTCTTACGCTAAGTCAAATATGCCACATTCTCTGTAAGCACTATGCATGATGTCACTTGCTCCTCACAATGCATCTGATTGTGATGTAATTATGCAATGGCCAAAGAGTCACCATCACAACATACCAACATGAAATCTAAAGTAATTTCACAATATTTGGATAGATCCTAGTTTCCTCCTTCAACAAACCTTGATTGTGTTTTGATTCTTCATTCTTTGAATTTTCTCTCTCTTGTATCTGTTCATCCAAAACTTTCTTATATTCAATGGTTTCCCTAGACAAGGTTTTCACACTTTCTTCTGCCTGAATCCTTTCCAGTTCCAAGCGTCGAATCTTATCTTGAAGATTCTTAAGAGCAGAAAATATGGCTGCAATATATAAAATGCACACCTTGAGTAATGAACATAGAGAAGCTCACCAAAAAAATTTCTTTTGACAGATTCTCATTCTGTACCAGTCATCCTGCCTTCCAAGGGTTGGAGTATCGGTGTGAGCCACAGAGACGGCTCTGTAAAGAAAATTTTAGAAGACTGACAAAGTCAAGTGGGAGATCATTCTTAGAAAACAAAGTATTATTTCCTAATTAAAGTCATTCCAAGGCATCATTTCAAACTTTTAAAAAGTTCTACGAGTTACTCAAGTAAAAGCTATAAAAAATAAGCAAACAAAAAAACACCACTGAGGTTAAAAAAAAAAACCAAAAAAATTTTACAGTTTAACTGTTAAAAAACAAAGAAAAAATCCACCTTTGCTAATCACACATAAATTCACAACCATCCTGTGGTACTCTGAGTAAGAATGGCCCCCATAGGCTCATGTATTTGAATGCTTGATCAACTACTTGTTGGGGTAGATATGGCCTTGCTGGAGGAAGTGCATCACTGGGGTGGGCCCTGAGGTTTCAGAAGCCACACCAGGCCCAGTGTCTCTCTCTTCCTGCTGCCTTTACATTCAGAAGTAGAACTCTCAGATATTTCTCCAGCATCATGCCCACCTGCATGCCACCATAGTGTAAAGCAATGTAGTTCTGGCTTTGTAGTCAAGGGTTGTGGAAATCTCCCTCTGAGGCTAAGGGAAAGCTACTAAAGCCAGGCACGCGTCAGGGGTGTGCCTACATAGCAACTCTTGGAAAGGAAAGCGTTATGTGAAGATGTGAAGGTGAACCTGGATTGTGTTGGAAACTCCAAGATGTTGGAAATGCCAGAGTCATGGGATACCTGGCAAGGAGAGCTGCCCACAGGCTGTGGAACCAGTCCAAGAGAAAGAAGTGTGCTGCAGTCACCAAAGCTGACAGCAGCTAGAGATCTGAAAATCTCTTGGACCTCACACATGAGATGCAGAATTTGGAGTTCACCCTGCTGGTTTTCGGTCTTTCTCTGGTTCAGTATTTCCTCACTATATTCCCTTTCTTCCCTTTCGGAATGGTAATAGGTATTCTGTGCCATTGTATTTTGGAAGTATATAACCTGCTTTTTTAATCTTGATTTTATAAGGGGTACAATGAAGAAATTTCCAGAAGTCTCAGAAGAGACTTTTAATCTTTGGACTTTTAAACAGTATTGAGACTGTGATAGACTATTGGGACTTTTGAAGTTGGACTGAAAGCATTTTTGCAACATCATGATATGGCTACAAGCTTATGAGGACCAGGAAGTGTGGTTTGAATAATAATGCCCCCATAGGCTTATATTTGAATGCTTGGCCAACAGCACTACTTGCTGGAGTAGGTATGGCCTTGCTGAAGGAAGTGTGTCCCTGGTAGGTAGGCTTTGAGGTTTCAGAAGCCCACCCCAGGCCTAGTGTCTCTCTTTCTACCTTCAGATCCAGATATAGAACTCCCAGATACTTCTCTAGTACCATGTCTGCCTGCATGCCATCATACTCCCTGCCATGACAATGAAATAAACTTTTGAAACTACAAGCAAGACCCATGTTTTCCTTTATTAGGGTTTCCGTGGTCATGGTGTCTCTTCACAGCTATACAGCACTGGCTAGGATACTCCCAAAGCACATTATTAAATGTTGTCAACCACTAGGATGCTGGATGATGCACTGAAATCAGAGCAGCTATGATTGTCCACAGAAGACCCTAAAAAGGTGTCCAAACATTCCCACCTTGATGGTGAGGAGGCTCACATGCTATCAAGCAGCTCAGAAGGTAGGATACAAGGCCCTTCTCCTAGGCTAGTAATAACTGTCAGTTCAGAGGAGACTCTTCCTTAGTCACCTGTAAGTTGCCCATGTTCATGTCAGGAAGCTCAATAAACTTCCTGCTTCATTAATCTGTCTTTAACGGAACCATCTCTTTGGTCTACTGTTGGTACCGCTCTGTGGCGAGCAGGTATTTATGTATTCTCAGCCACAGGCATACAGCAGACACCTCAAATCTCTCTTGTTGTGTGCATACCAAGTGCATAAATATGCCAAGGTCAGGGACCAACCTTGGCTTCCACTCCTCAGATAATACAGTGTTTGTTCAGCCAAGGTCTTTCACAACTGAGACTCACTGATCTGGCTATGTTGGGTGGACAGTGAGTCCTAGAGATTATCTGTCTGTCTCTGGCACATAGTATAGTGAGAGGTCTACGAAACCATAATGCTGACCACGCCCGTTTGGGTGTGTTTACAGGTATTTAGAACGTACAGAAGAAAAAAAAAGAGCTAGGGGTAGGAGACTCACTCTCTTTGGGTTCCGTTTTCGGCCTGGATAGCAGCATGGGAACCTTTGATTCTCTGCTTTTCATGTTAAGTGATCTCTCTCAATAAAATATCATAGGACATGCCTATTTTGTGTATCTTAGTATTTCCACATTAACATAGCACTAGGAATAATGTGCCAAAAAGCCCGGCTTAAGAAAAAAAAATACTGGAATGGTTTTATCTTTTGACACTTTCATATATGTATGTAATGTACCTTGATCATGTTCACCGACTTCCTTTCACACTCCCCCAGGACCTACTAAGTGCTGTCTACATAATGACTCTGACTTTTTAAAAAGGTATTTATCTATTTAATGGGTATAGGTGTTTTGCCTGTATGTATATCTGTATACTATGTGCATGCCCAATACCCAGAGGCCAGAAGAGGGTGTTAGTTGTAAATTGCCATGTGGGTGCTGGGGACTGAACCCAGGACCTCTGGAAGAGCAGCCAGTGCTCTTAACCACTGAGCCATCTCTCTAGCCCCTGCCTGAGACTTAGGCTCCTGACTGATTCTGGAAATGACAGAACAGTAATAAGTGACTCAAAGTATTTTAGCTTCTATGATTTGGTGGATAATATTCAGCCAGTCAATAAGGAAAGCAGTATAAATTCTACAGAAATAAAGGGGAAAATATACACTGTTCTAATTTCAAAACAACAGAGGTCAAAACTAAGAATTTTAAACTAACCAGTAAACAAATAACATTTCCTTTGTTACAGTTGGTTACCTCTGCTGTTGCTTTCTGGATAGGCAAGTGTGGGCTTATTTGGGGAGCGTCTTAGATCACTATTAAGGAAAGGCTTATCACGTGGATATAATACATATGGAGATGAAGAATGACGAACCATATTTCCATTCGACCTTGATGGTTCAGTTAGGATGTTCTAAAAAAGAAAATAATGAAATTACCTTTTTGACATTTAAAGCTAATACTCATGACTGAGAAACACTGTATGTTTTCTAAAAGACAACAACAAAAAAACTGATCTCACAGTAGAACTCAAACATCATTATCAAGAGATGCAATATTTTGGGTTAAATAGCCACATGGCAAAAAAAAAAAATCCTCCTCACACAACCTCAATACAAATATTTACACAAGTCAAATCTTTGTTCAGATCAGAAACATACAATTTGCTGAATTAGTCTATCCTCAATAAACAAAACATATTCCAAATATCTATAATGACCAAAAACTCCCTAAAGAAAGCATGTTCACTTCTTAAAGAATTTATATTTAGTTAGCAAAAAGGGAAAACAACTATAAAACTTTAGGGCTTATCACATATTCTCACATACTATATTTTCATATACACCATCTGTCACAAAGCTGTCAAATTTGGGATTATGTTCTACATGATATAAACCTACCATAGTACACCTCTGAATGTTAACTGGAATTTTAGTAGTAGGTGGGTTTGTGGTTCAGGACACTTAGCTAAGAGGGAATAATGGAGATGCTAGGAGCTAAGGAAGGAGACAGGATGACCACCAGCTGTTCACACTTCTCACACATCTAGTTCTCCTTTTCAGACTGCTACAACAAATTAGGATTTTCAATTTTCTGAAGAACTCTATTGCTAAAATATTAGTGTAGTCTGTGTAGATACAGAGGAATGATGAGTATTCACAACAATAAACCACTTCCTTGAATAAACAGAACTATCCAAATACCTACATAATAAAGATTTGTACTTTTGTGTTACAGTAACACAAACTTCCAGTGGATTTAAAAGAGCGATTACAAAGCACACTGTTGCTGTGGAAACTACAAGGGGGCAATGAGCGTAGGAAATTCGGTAGGCTCAAGTCTCAAAAAGAGCCCTAGTCACGATACGTGCTATCATTTCTCAGCCTTTTGCCCAAGATCAAATGAGAGCTCTATCTGTTGTAACATATGGGCTCAGGGACTATTATCTATCCTTTTAGAAGTCTAATGGCACACACACACACAAAAAGCAAGCTGGCGTGAGGTGTTAAAGGTTATTTGAAAAAAACAGTAAGTTTTTAATTTTTAAAAATATAGTCAACATTATTATGGAGCATTATGCTTTCCATATAGTTAACAGAGAACATTGGAACATTGCATTTTAGTTTCTAGCTAGAAACTGCTAGAATCCCATCATTTAACATTCAAAGTGAGCTAAGAGATTTTACTGTAGAATTCCCCCTCACAGAATCAGCAGAAGTAAATGATGTGATCACCTGAACCAAATAACCAACTAGTTCTAAATAGAAAAACACAACCCAGCCAGTGAATAAAGGTGCTTGCTGAAAAAGCTTAATGACCCAGGCCAGCTCCCAGAGGCCATTAAGGTGGAAGGAGGCAGTTTCAAAGCTGTCTTCTGATGTCCAGGAGCAAATTGTGGCATGTGCACCCCACATACATTATCATGCACACACTAAAAACTATGAAAACGTGTAAGTAAAATAGGCTTCCTTAGAAGCACGGATCACAGATATCATTTATCTAAGTATTTTACTCAGTGGAGGGAGCAACAATGATTTCCCTTCAATCTCCTAGGTCTCTTCCTCATAAAGTCCCTGGATCTCCCCTCCCCAAAGTTTGGTTCTCAAGGTTCCTTTCTTTCCTATACTGATTTCCCATTTAAAGAAATCACATCTACTTACAGGCCTCTTAATTTTTATTTGCCAACAGCTTTCAAGTTAAAATATGGAATTGAAATCTAAATCTAAAACTGCAAACTCACATCACTCATTACCTAGTTGGATGTCTTAACAGGCAACTAAAATTTAACGTGACTATAACCAAATTCTTGGTTAGTTGCCAAATCTGCTCCTCACCCAAGAGTACCAAAACAACTGGCACCTCCATTTACAAAACTGCTCTGTACAAAACCCTTGTATGGAGTCATTTTCATCCACTCATATCTAGTCACTCTGTAAATCATTCAGGGTTCCTTCTCTATAACGTATTTAGAATACCTACTACCCCAGATGTTGCTGCTGTTTGTTTTTTTTAAGTTTGAATTGCTATAAAATTCTAACAGTTCTTCACACTTAAGTATGCTCTCCTAAACAGCACGCTAGTGATGATGATTCAAAAAGGAGTTGGGGGGGTTGAAATTAATATTTCATATCAAAACCCTCCTATGGCTTTCCAAAACAGAGCACAATTCCAAATTCTTACCATAGTTTATAAAACCTCCACATGATGTATTTCAGGCTAACCCTTGTTTCATTTCCTGATACACTCTTCTGATACTATGTCCCTACCGATTTTCCAGCAATAGGGACAAAACAAAAAAACACAAAAAACCAGTGCACGAAATACATATACTTCCCTACTCAACAGGCTTGAGGTTTTCAGTTGTGTCTACCATAAGGACTAACGATCACATCCCTTGAAGGCCTTGGGTAATTACCTACTTCTTAGTTGGTCTCCAATTTCTAGGTTTTGAGCACAGAAGAGTCCTCCTTTCCTAAGTTTAACCAACGTTGTCTCCTACAGTTCATGCACCACTGACACTCGTTTCTGCCAGTCTTACTTTTACCCTTTGTCCATCTGGTCCGTGAAGGAAAACCGTTTGCTTCTCCTCTGTGCTAGACGCATTGTGCTGAAATCTCGAGGCAGTCTGGCCTGGTTAGCACAAGCTCTAGTAGCCACAGAAAGTTGAAACTGAGATTCATTAGTGTGACTGCACTCTAACGACCTCTCTCTCCCTCATCTGTTATGAAACTATCCTGACACTCTGACTTCCCTCGTTATTCAAGTTTCACTTGTTCTAGTCCTCCTTCTTGCCCAACTCTACCCGTTTATCTCTAAACCCGCCGGTGTTGAATTCTCCAAGGCAGCATTTCCTAGGAATCCCGAAGGACGTGGGAACGCGCGGGCTCCGGCTGCAAGGGTGGCTGGCGCTAACAGTCCCCGGGAAGCACTGCCGACAAGGACGAAAATGCACTCCGGGGGCCTCGGATGCCTGGGCGGCTGTCACTCTGCACACCTGCACCCCTACCTGTCTCCTGGAGGTCAGGGAGCGGGGCCGTTAGGCTCACGTGACCGAGAGCTTTGTTTTCGCAGACAGCGTGCAGCGGTCCGGCCGGGACGACGCTCGCGGCGCCGGCTGCGAGGCCAGGGAAGCCGGGTGGGGACGCGGGCGGACGGGGCTGCAGCTCCACAGCACGCAGGTGCAGCCTCCCGGAGACAAGCCCGCCCGCCCGCCCCGGGCAAGCCGCCGTCCTCCGGAAGGAGGGTAGCCAGACGAGCGGGGCAAGCCGGAGAGCCGGCCCGGAACCCCCGCGAACACCGCCGCTTACCGAAAACCGAGACTCGGAAGCCGCCGAGACCGAGGCGGCCGCCATCTTCCCGCCTGCGCACCGCGGGCCGCCGTCCTCGAGCTCCTCCTCCGGATTCGACAGCCGCCCGCCTGGGGCGAGGCGAGGCCGGACCCCCGATGGAAAGGGCGGGCGCGCTGCGAATCCGCCAGGAGCCTCGGCCTCGCAGCCCACGGGGACGCCACACTCAGCGAGCGCTACAAGAGCAACGCGTCCTGACAGACGTCTTCATCGACCAATCAGAAGGGGGGGACATCTTCCGGCGGCAGGCTAGGGCCCGCCTCGCCCCTCGGTGACGTCACAAGGTAGCGCGCCACTGAGCCCGCGGGGCCCGCGTCGCTGTGAGTTGGCCGACGGCTCCGGGAGGACTCTGGAAAGGGCCGTGTGTCCTGGAGGGGGACGCAGAGACTAGGGCCGCTGGAGCCCCCAGCGACTGCCGGGACGGACGACGGGAGCAGAGGAAAGGCGAGTGGAAAGTTCAAACACTCCATCGGGGCCCCAGACAAACTCCAGACAACGCTCGCCTAACTCTCCGCCTCTCCAGGTGAAGTAATGGCCTCTCGGCCAATGACACACAGGGGTGGGAGGGGCTTGACGACACGGTCCAATGGAAACCAAGGGCTGGAACCGGCGGCGCTTCATGACTTCTGTCCAATGGGCTCAGGGGCCCCGCCCACACCAGGACTGGCCGCGGCTTGTGGGCGGGACCTCTCCCAAAGCGGATTTCGCGCGCTCAGAGCACCGGCCTCCTATTGGTGGTTGTGTTCCTCTCTTTGTGGGCGCTCCCTGCGTCACCTAGGCCAGGGGTTGGGCGGGGCTTCCGAGTGACGTGAGGTTCTCTGTAACCAATCACAGAGGGGGACGCGGGCCCGAAGAGGAAGCGGAATCCGCAGACTAGCGCCCGCTTCGTCTCCCTCCGCCGCGTTCCGGGCCTAAGCGGGAGCAGCGGGGCGGGCGGCAGCGGGTGTCCCGGGACGGCGGTGGAGGCGGAGGGAGACACGGGGGGTGTGCACGGCGGTCGCCAGGCAGGGGCCGCGGCGACAGAAAGGCCCGCGGGCGGGGCAGCCGAGTTCCCGGGGGCCCCGCCGGAGCGCGCGCGGAGGAGCCCGAAAGGAGGATGGCGGCGTCGGCCCTGTATGCCTGCACCAAGTGCACGCAGCGCTACCCCTTCGAGGAGCTGTCGCAAGGCCAACAGCTCTGCAAGGTCGGTGGGCGCCGGGGCCCGGGCATCAGGTGGGCGAGTCCCGGGGCGAGCGCGTCCCGCCTGCTCGCAGGCTGGGGCCGGCTCCGCCTCGCTCGGCGGTCTCGGGTGGGGCTGAGCCGGGCGGCCACTAGTCCTCGGCGTCGCAGAGCCCCGGTGCAGACTCTCACCCCAGCCTGGTCAGCCCTCTCCTTCCACTGGGAGGCAGGGCTTCGTGTTTGCACTTTCTTGCTAGGATCCCGAACCCGAAGCTGCAGAGCTGATGGCATCCTGCTTCCTGTCCCGGAAAGCGAAGCGACTGGTTTGGGAACAGGGTGCTCTGATTGGGAGCTCCTCCCATCCCATAAAAACTGGCACGCTGTCTGTGAGCAACTGTACAAAATAACACACGTAACCGTCCCTGGAAGTCACTCCTGACCTGACAGCTTCCTTGATTTATATGTTCCATATCCCCCCACGTCCAAAAAAGACAAAATATTTATGGCCACCCTGTGGAATTTTACTGTGACTGGACGCTGATGGGATAAGTCACCTAGTTGTTTACGTTGCCAGCAAAGTTTATTCGACAGGTCAGACACTTGACTAGGTGGAATGATTTCTACCAGAAAAGTGAGATTGGGTCTGTGACATCAAACTGACTAATGTATTGTCTTAATTACAGGAATGTCGGATTGCACATCCTATTGTAAAATGTACTTACTGCAGATCAGAATTTCAGCAGGAGAGGTTTGTATACTCAGCACCTTTTCATTGTTACAAATTCCTGTAAGGAACGTCTGGGACTTGTAAAATTTGTTAAAGTGTTTTGAGAAAATGCTTTAGCTTCTGAAATTGAAAATTAAGAACTTTTGTACATAGTATGAGAGAACACATTAAAAAGTCCTGGTTTTTATTTTAGAACTAAACTTCAGTTTGAGCAGGAGAAAATAGGGGATAAATTGATGGGTGGAAAATGTACACTTTTGCCAACAATCAAATACAAAGAATTATATTTAAACTTCTTAATGGAAAAGTGCTATTGAACCAGAGGAAAGAGCTAGCTACAGTGTTACCAGCTGCCTTCCACGATTGAAGTCACTTACATGTCAGTGTGACTAGCACAGATGTTTTTAACAGAAAATCCTCTTTTAGAGGACACACAGGTAACTCAAGAGAACTAATTATTCCTGTTTGTGTGGAATCGCAGTGGAGAGCAGCTAATTGCGAAGTGAGAGGGGTCCTCATGCATGAAGATGTGCATTTATATGGGCAAGGGAAAGTTTAGAACCAGGGGGAAAGACATGGCTTTTGCTTTGTTTCTTCCCAAAAATTATACAGTAAATTGGTTGCCTGTAAGCACAGTGTTTAGAGGTGGAGGCAGGAGAATTACCACTTAGAGACAAACCTGGACACACACCTTGAGACCTTGAGACTCTTGCCCCTAATGAGTTAATAATATGGAAGTTTTGTCTTTAAGAGAAATAAGTTAACTACTTTGTTTTTAATTTGTGAATTAAAGTAATCTATACATCTTTTGACTTCGTCCATTTATTGTAGATCAATGTGTTACTTACGCTAGACATGGTAATCATCTGTATATCATTTCCTTTTCAGCAAAACTAACACAATCTGTAAGAAGTGTGCTCAAAATGTCAAGCAATTTGGAACAGTAAGTATGCTTTTCATTTCATGTGATTATTATTGACCAGTTCTGGTTCTTCATGAAAACAAGTTCAAAACAACTGCATGCTTTACCTGTTATGTAGTGAATTTCAATGTGCAGCTTGTGAAACTATTTCTTAAATATACAATTATAGCAAATTCCTTAATGTGGTGAGCCTATTTATTTACAATGCTAATATAACCAAAGTTTCCCCTGATTTCTGCAACTTTTTATATGGCAGTACAGTTCACATGTTCAAAACTAATGACAGTATCCTGTTATAAATTGGCCCACATGTATGTTGTAGATGTTAACATAACAATACTGTTCACGGTAGGTCAAAATGCTGACCTTAATAAGTCTCAGTACTGAATATCCAAGAAATCAAGCATGCTTATTATTGCTTAAACTGAATATGCTTGTGCTAATTTTTATATTGAAAAGATACTTTTACTGTGACAACTACTTACATACAGTGAAATTCTTTTTAGTTGAATAAATGATGCAATTAAGCCAGCTAGCATATCACAAGTTCATTGAGTCATGAGACTTTTCTGTGAGTAATTATCCAACCTCATAAGCAAATTTTGTATTATGTAAATGCTGTGTGAGTCCTGAGTGTTTGTCTCACAGTAGTCAGATTGAGTCTTGAATATGTGTTTCACAGTGGTCAGACGTTTTAAGCATGCTCGGTTGAGCTTCAGGACTGTCGTACTAAATGTTAGTTGAATGAATAGGCCAATATTTGACTTTGAACATATGCTTGGCAAAAACAAATGTCTTTAACTTAACACTTTCCTTCATTAACTCCGCAAATAACTTAACACTGCATGTATCTTACACAACAAAGTTTTAAATGTCTCAGTTAAACTGTGTTTATTTTGCAGCCCAAGCCTTGTCAGTACTGTAACATAATTGCAGCATTTATTGGTACCAAGTGTCAACGTTGCACAAATTCAGAAAAAAAATATGGACCACCTCAGACCTGTGAACAATGCAAACAGCAATGTGCTTTTGATCGGAAGGAGGAAGGAAGAAGAAAAGTATGTTTTATTTGTTATGACATCTTCTAGAGATAAAATACCAAACAAGTTGGTGATTACTACAAGTATACCACTAGACCTCTGTGTCTGCTACCTGGAAGCAGAAGTGGAAGACTAGCGTATGTGTCTGTGCACCATGTGTGGGTTCGTGTCGATCTGTTAGGATGACCGCACTGTAGAAATCAGTTGTGCTGACTATGCTGTGTGCCTGTAGCCCAGCTCCTTCAGGCTGAAGCTGGAGGGCCATTTGAACCAAGGGACTCAAGATCAACCTAGGCAATACAGCGCAACTGTCTCAAGACTAATTCTCTTGATAGTTACTCTGCACTGTTTATTCCCCAATTCAGTTTTGTAGTAAATTCTTTCACTTATACCCTTTTGCTGGTTCCTTAAAATTGGTGTGAAAAACATCTCATATTAGCACACAGAATTTGAAGTTAGTATTTGTCTTTTGTTTAGGCTCGTGTTTGAAACTGTTTCTCTCTGCCTACAGTACTTAATGATTAGGTGTACACGGGCCTCCTGTTGTCTGTTAGCTGCAGCTGCTTTGGAGGATGACTGTCTCCTTGAGGGGCTAACCCAGATACCCCCACAGCACTGCATGCACCTTAGTTTAAGATATGTCCCTCCACCATTTCCTCTATGCAATGAAATGAAATGGAATGAAAGGAGGCAGAAACTGTACCTTAGTTTTTGAAAGAAGTCACTTTCTCTCCCCTGGACTCACCTGATTGAGCCTCATTATTTGCAGTTGTGTCAGTCTATAAAGCTGCCAGCCTAGTGAACTGTGGCTTGTAAGGGATGTGGAGGATTGAGTTCCTGCCTCTAATCATAACATGCTTGTCAGTTCACCAGTATACTAGGGATTTTTGTGTCTAAGATAGCTCATGTAAATTTAGTCGAATACATGGCCAGGAGCAGGAATAATAGCTCAACAAAACTTAACCAATGTATTTTCCATGAGGATCATCACAGCCTTTAGAACAGTGTGGAAAGAACAGTTGTTTACAGTGTGAGAGGGGAAGCATGGAAGTGTCACCACCTTATTCTGCTATAGTTGGGGCTATGACATCTGTTGGCATGAGTCTTCCACTGCTCTGTATATATATGAATGACTAAATAGGATTTTAGACTTAGAGATCAATACACAAATCTACAGATAAATAAACTCTGAATATAATGAGAATTGTTACCTAGGCTATTTTTAAGTCAATAATTACTTTTGTGGAAATTACTCTTATCATTTTGGTAATTACAGTGAGACTAAAGCATAATTTAGGCTATATTTTTAAAAATTAATCATCCATTTGTGCTCCTTTTTAAAAAATTAGATTTATTTATGTCTCTGTTTTGCCTGCATATATGAATATATGGTATGTGCCTGCCTGATGCCCGTAGAAGTTAGAAGAGGGTGTTCAATGCCCTGGAACTGGAGTTGGAGGTGGTTGTGAGTCACCATGTATGTGCTGAGAACTGAACCTGGGTCCTGTAAGAGCAAGCAGTGCTCCTGACTCCTGAGCCATTTCTCTAGCCCCTGCTGTAGTTATTTCTATAGGAATACTAAAGATGGTGTCTCTCAGAATTAAAGGGCATTAACAGTGCTGGAGGACTAT